CGAGAAGGGAACGGGTTGACATGTCGTGGGGTTGTTAACCAATGTCATAAAACAATATGTGTACTACTGTTTCATGAGAAACTATTTGTTCTGTAAACCTTCACCTGAAGTACAATTAAAAAATAAAAATAAATTAAAATAAAAAGCCAAAGAATACACATCACATAGAGAAATAATTGTAACAAAACATACATCATCACAAAATATTAAGACAGTGAGACTAAACATATTCATGGCAATAAATAAGAATAAGCTTAACTCGACTCACCTACTATAAAAAAAAAATTTTTCGATTTGGCTCAAAAGAAATATACAACTATATGCCTTATACAAGAGACAGACCTAAAATTTAGAAAGGCCAAAATAAGGTAATGGACAAGCAAACATGAAAGAATAGCCAGCAAAACGCTGAAAAAGAAAAGCTATGCAAAGGTAGTAGTCCTGCCAGATATCAAAACATACTACAAATCTTCTATAATTAAGACAGTGTGGTACTGGCAGATGCATGGACTAACAGACCAGTGGAATAGAACATAAAATCCAGAAAGAAACCCAAGCACATTTGTACATTTAAAGGTGTCAAATTTAAAGCATATATGTAAAATAATAAAAATGTCATCTTACATCACTGGTGTAAAGATGGACATTTCAATAAATGGTACTGGGACAACTGGGTAGCTATTTGGAAAAGATAAACTTAGATCTATACTTTATACTATATACCAGAATAAACTCCAAGTGAATCAGGTATCTAAATGTAAAAATAAAATTATACGTTTACTACTTAGTAGACTTGTTTTTCATAAAAGCATGAGTTAGTAAACCTGAAACTTTAGGTGCATTCTGAGATTAAGTAAATATACAAATACACTGTGGAAATGAGAGACATGTTTCTCACTGTCAGAGAAAGCAAAGGGTAAAGGCTAGAATGGACTCTGTCAGATTAGAATTGGAGGTGTCAGTATAAACTCATGCTTTAGACAGATAGATGAGACAGACAGTGAGTGACAGAAATGACAGAGAGAGAATGTCCCTATACATACATATGCTGCCTAGCTCTGTCTGCTAAGAGAGTAATGACACTCCAGTATCATTGAACACAACTGGCACTCAGATCTTTGTTTCTAAATACCATTCCCCAATAAAAAAGAACCAGGATTATTTCGAGAAATAGCTGACTTCAGGAAGGACACAAGAAAACTATGAGTCTAGAACACTTAATGGTACTAGAAAGTAAAGAAGAATGCAAAACATGATGAGGAATAGTATTTTTTAATTAAAATCAAGGGGGAAAAAAGATATTAAAAGGACACAGAAGCGAAATTGAAAGGACCCTCAATGGTCAAATATGGGACAACATGAGCAACAAAATAAATAATGCTACTAATTGATTATACCCCATAGAATAAAATACGAATCCATGAATCCATATGGATATAAATAATTAATTGAATTAATAATCAGGGGATAAGGGAAACCTCTTTTAGTAGAACTCCAACAAATAAATGTGGAGGGAATAATGGAAATCAGAAATCACCATCTGGCAAAAACTATGTAAAAATTGTTTCACCCAAGAGTCATCAATGGATGCTAAAATTAGTGGGCAAAAGTATGATCAACACCAGAATATTTCCATAGTTCCAGAGTATCTCCAAGATAGTTATTATGAGCAAAGAGAAAAATAGTAACTTTACAGTACAGAAACCTGGCAGACACCACCTTAACCAAGTGATCCAAGTTAACATCACCAGTAAGGGCACAAATCGACATCATGAGCCTCTTGATATTATGGACTAAGAAGGACAAAAATGTATAACCTGAATTTAACCTAAATTAATGACCAGTTTTCTTCAAAAGTGTCAAGATCATAAAAATCAAAGAAAAACTAACGAATTATTCCAGATTTACAAAATCTAAGGAGACATGACAATTAAATGTAAGGTGTGATTCTGAATTGGATTCCAGATCAGAAAACAGACATTACTGAGACAACTGGCAAAATCTGAGTGTGGTATCAATATTAATTTCCCAGATTTGATCCTTATACTGTAGTTATATAAGATGTAACATTTGGAGAATCTGAGAGAAGAATATACGGGAATTCTTTGTGCTATTTTTGCAACTTTTTGTTAAGTCTGTAGTTATTTCAAAATAAAAAAAAAAAAATGAAAGAAGCAGCCAGCCAAAGGAGATGAACTGCTTCTCACAGGATTGGGTAGCAGAACAGCGGCAGCAGGGATGCCTCTGAGGAAGCCTCAAGCGAGCTAGCAAAAAAAAGAGGCTGCTTTAAACACCTGCCAGGCCAGAGTGCAGAGCCATCTCAAAGCAGTGCCAGTCACACAAGAACTTTTCTGAACTTCCTTCCAACTCCTTTCCATGTTCCAAGCTGGGAAAGGAGCTAACCACACCCCTTTCCCAGGGGGCAGGCAGTCCAAGCCAGGGTTGGCAAGAAGTTTTAATCAAGTTCAAAGTGTTGATTATTACATTGGAGTGGACATTCTAATTACTAAACTGAGACTTTGTTTTATGAGTTAAAGTGACCATAGAATTATTTATGAATAAGCAGAAATGTATTGAGGTCTGCTAGACTTTCCTAGTTTCTCCTTGGCCAGGGAGAAAACTTGCCCCACTAAATACATTCTAAAGGGAGAGTGGGATATAAAATACGGTTTTGATTATATCCCACAAGTTGCATCTACTCAACACGATTATGAACTATCCACTGGTGAGTAGGGACTACAGTAATCAACCAATTTCTCCCAACCATGAGACAGAAGGCTAACACACCCCCATGGATGAATGCTCTCCACTGGCTTACATGAGATGGAAGAGTTGAATATGTCTTCCTCTCAAACCAGACCACCGTGATGACCTACTGTTATACTCAGCCCCCACAGAGCTGTGGGTGTGAATGGAGAGTTTTGGGGAGGTGTCTCTATCACTGCTGGATTTCCACTGCTACAGCCCAAGCTCCTAGATCCCCTAAGGTTGACCTGCCAACAGCCAAGCTGAACACTGACATCAGAAAAACAATTCTTCCTTCTGGTGATACATAATCTGAGAAAATGCCTTCCAAAAGCAAAGGAAGAGAACTATGATCCCTGAGATTGGATGAAAGCACATCCAAGGAGCATGGGAAGGAGGGAACACAGATGAAAGTACTACTGTGTGGACGTGGTGAGGAGGGAAAGGGTGCTTCAGGCTGGTAGGCTTCTGGTCTACCTTTCTGCAAAGCCAACCTAAACGCACTGCCCCTTTATCACTGTTCAGGTTAATGAAGCAAAGGACTCACAGGGGCAGGTCCAGTGGCAACCACAGGTCTCTTCCACCCTAACAGGGGACTGGCTGTTGGTGCATGAAGGCTTTGGTCCCCGGTCACAGTTGACCCGATGACTCTTCAGCAAGGTCTGGCCATCTGGCAGGCAGGTCACCGTGTGGCACTGATCTGGCAAGGTCCAGCTGTCCCCAGGCTGCTCAGAAAAAAGAACAAGATTCAGGCAAGGAATATGTTGAGGGACTGCAACTCTAAAACCATCTGCCAGGTCACTGACCACCTCTGAGGACATACAGACTAGGATTTGGATATAGGCCTAAATGGCAAGAAGGCTGTACATGAGATAGGGTGCAGAACACAAACATACAGATGGTCTCCAAAAGCAGGATACATAATAAGAGGGAGACATGGACTGAGAACAAAGGAGGAGAAGTTAGCCAGTGAGAACAATGACCCCTAACATATATTTATGATCTTTCTTTCAAAGTCAACAGAAGGAAACTTACCCTTTTCTCATTCCCATCCTCATCCACGCAAACTCTAACGAACCCTGAAAGAGAAACAAGTAAGACCTTAGCTCCCACCCATCACCCAGAAATTCTAAACCATTCCCAACGACTGCTTGGACTACCTGGGCCAGTCCTGGAAGTCAAAATAACTCTTCAACAGTGAGGATACAGGTGCACAAGGTTAGGAGGTGGTCATCCTATGGTTCTTCAAGCATGCTTTGCGGTTATTAATAATAATGACGATAATAACAACACTGATAATATGGCAACAACTAGTTTACAAATTATTTTCACCAACATTATCTCCTTTTCCTCTTTCATGGGTAGATCAGTGCCTCCTGCATTATGAGGCAAGATCCTAAAAATCTGAAAGAGATCTACTTGAAGATTCCTACCAGGAGAGCTATCATCTAGCAAGGAAGGGCAATAACTTTGTAATGGTTTTGACTGACAGCTAATTACATTAGGAAAATATATAAAACCAGGCAAAAAAACCCAAACACGGTTAAAAAAAAATAGTTTCTAACCGTTAACTCACAAACTATGGGATGTTGATTTTAGACTATGTTATTGTATTTCTAAAGTCCTTTGTACACAAGCTGAGGGTAGATACACAGCCATGGGAAGACCAGGGTCTGCACGATGTTGGGGTTCCCTGCTTATATCTTCCATTTTTTCTCTTAAATTAAGGTCCCTCTGCACAAATAGGTGTGGGCTTTCTCTCCTAAAGCTTGGATGGACAGTAGGATTGAAGAACTATACACAGAGAACCTGCTGGTGACTCCTTGAAAGTTTATAGTACAAACCTACGAAGAGCAGAAACTTGAAGTTCCTGGTCTATCTAGCAATCTTCTTTCAAGGCCAAACCCTGTGAATGGGCACTCCTGGATCTCTAGAATGGATTTTTCTGGGGAGAGGGGAATAAATAATGATCTTATAAGCCTCACCAGAGCACAGCTTGTGGAAGAAAGAATTGTCCAGGGTGACCATGGTGGGGAGGTCTTCAATCCGCTGGAGCTCCACCACGTTGGAGCTTGCATCTGGGCCAGCCAAGATCCTCAGCTGGGACACATCATACCTATCCCCAATTCCAATAGGGAACACTGCCACTCCTAGAAGAAGCAGAGGAACAAGAAAGGGTCTGTGGCAACCTGCTTTCGTCAGGTGTGCTCAAATCAGACTGGCCTGAAGCTACACCTAGCGCTTGTACAGAGATTCTTGTATTACAGACTGGCCCCACACACCATTGTGTTCTCTTCGCACAACCCTGTGAGGGAGATGTTCAATCATTCCACAAATATTAACAAGCACCTACTATGTGTCGGTACTATTTTAAGTAACGGGGACACAGCAGTGAACCAAGCAGATAAAGTCATCATGGATCTTACACTGGGAAGAGACAGCCAATAAACACACAAATAATATATACTATTTCAGATGTGGATCAGTGCTATGGAAAAAACAAAACAGGGTAAGGAGAATGAGGAGTGCCCAGGGGTAGATGTTATTGTTTCATATAAGGTGGTTGGGGAAGGGCTCAGTGTAAAGGTGACATTTGAGCAGAGACTTGAAGTAAAGATGGAAGATATCTAAGAGGATATCTGGTGGAAGAACATTCTAAGCAGAGAGAGCAGGAAGTGCAAAGGCCCAGAGCAGAAGTACGCTTGCATACTCCAGGGTGGCTGGAGCAGAGCGAGCAGGAAAGGGTGTGGGGCTCAGACCATGCGAAACTGTGTAGGCCACAATAAGGACTCAGCGTGTCCTCTGAATGAAACAGAAAGCCAGCCCAAAGTTTGGAGCAAAGGAGTGACATGAGCTGACTTCAATTTTTAAAGGATCACTACAACGTCTATGTTGAGAAGGACCTGCAGGGGACAAGGGTGGAAACAGGGGTTCCAGTTAGAAAGCTGTTACAACAATCCAGGTGAGAAATGATGGGGGCTTGGAGTGGGGAGTCAGTGGTGGTGTGCTGGGAAGTAGTTTGATGCTCAATATATTTTGAAGATGGAGCTATAGTTTTTTAATGAATTGCATGTACGGTATGAGGGAAAAGCGGAGTCAAGTTTTTCAACCTGAGCAACCAGAAGGATGGAATTTCCATTTTCTAAGATGGGAAAGACTGTCAGAGGAGGAGAACTGGTGGTGAGAGTCAGGAGTTCAGTTTAAATCAAATTGCCTATAAGAATATCTAGGTAGAATTGAGAGGAGAAGTCTAGGTTGGAGATAAGGATTTCGAAGTCTTTGGTGTATAAATGTATTTAGACCTGTGACACTGAATGAGATAATCAAGGGAGTGAGGGTAAGAGGAGAAGAGAAGATGTCACAGGGCCGAGCCGGGAGTGTGTACACTCCCATTTGCATTGAGAAACTGAGGCTTTGAATGGTTAAATGACTTGCCCAAGCCCACATCTGTTCCCTCTAGACCGTAATTGCTTCCTTTCCAGATGAAAGTCTTTCTTTGGAGTTATGATGCTAAAGGAGAAACGTCTCCATCCTGAAATTCTCTGACTCCATTTTCTAGAAGGTTCTAGGTATTTGCAATTTGTTTAAGGTTACAGTTGGTTTTCTGCAGTAACTTTTTAGGTGTCGTAAGCTCAACGTGCATCATCTAAATATATATTGCTGATCTTTTAGTGTCCTCTTTCCTAAAATAATAAATTTCATAAACATGTCACATTCATTCATTCAGCAAACATTACATGAGCACCTATTTGTATGCACAGATGATACAAAAACAAGCAAGATTTTTCCCTTGGCTGCAAAGAACTCCCAGTTTGTGCAAGAGATAGATACGTAACAAATAAAGGCAATCCAATGTGATCTACGCATTTTGAGTAGTTCAGACGTGGTACAGAGAAGGGAGTGAATGATACTCTCAGGGACAAGGTCAGGAAGATTTCAGAGAAAAGCAGGGTTTTCAAAGAACAGTCTTCCAGATGGTCAGAAGGAGACTTAACATCACTCCCTGTGATGGTTAAGATTGTGTGTCAACTTGGCTGGGCCATGATTCTCCGTGTTTTAATGTAATCACTCCCATGACTGAATATACTGTGAGTAGCCAATCAGATGAAAGGGAGTCTCCTTGCGGGTGTGGCCCGCATCTGTATATAAGCAGACGTTCTGGCTTTTTGCTCTCTCTGGATCCTGCGGCTGCTTTCTGTCGTCTCATCTCTCGTTCTCGGGACTTTAGCTGTCAGCTTATCTGCCGAACCTGGGATTCGTCAATCTGCACAGCCTGTGAGTGGGAGCCCTGCTCTCCGACCTTCCGATCTTGGGCTTGCCAGCTTCTGCAGCTGTGTGACTTGGGAGAGGCCTCTACCCTGATCCACGGACTTGGGACGTTCTAGCCTCTACAATCGCGTGAGCTGTTTCCTTGATATAATCTCTCTCTATATATATTTATACACTTTACTGGTTTTGCTTCTCTAGAGAACCCAGCCTAAGATACTCCCTCACCCAGCCCTCCCTCGGCACTATGCCACCTGTCCTGGCTCACATTCTGTTGATATTCATAGCACAAGTTCTTGTGGAGCACAAGGTTGGGACAGGTCTGTATCCTTCTGAAAGTGTGTCCTTGTCTACTGTCCATCCATCCTCCCCTCCCCTCAGCCCATTAGGCTGGTATTGGTATTGACCATTCTCAGTACCCCATAATGAATCCCTCTGGCCTCAGATACGGCATTTTAGTGAGAGACCAAAATTTAAAGGATACCACTTTAAAAATGAAAAGTTTAGAGGTGTGACCCACTCCTAAGCATGAATGGCAAATGTGGAGGAATGAAAGGTTGTCACCTAAAGCATGCAGACAAGTGAAGGATAAACAGACATTTCTTGCTGTTTGGTTTCTAAGTAACACAATGGTTGGACAATTTCCTGCTGTTGGAAAACAGGCCACATGTGACTATTGAGCACTTAAAGTCACCCAGGATATCCGAAACTAACCCGTGTCTACTTCCAATCCTCTAGCACTCTAGGAGAGTAGCCGGATGGTACATTGGACACTTACGGTTGGACCTGGCAGCATCAGCTGCTGCATCCACTGAATCCACGGAGACGTCCATCACTAGGATGACCACCACCTTGGCGGCTCCAGGCCTGGCACCATGGACTTCTGAAGTTATATATCGCACAGCAAAGCCCAAAGCATCCCCTGGGAATAGAGAACAGACCACCATCCCAAGTCAGTACTGTGACAAATGGGGTTTCTAAGCCAGCTGGCATCTTGTCTCACAGTGGATCTTTAAGTCATTCAAAAGCTAGACTCAGAAACTCAGAGAAACATACAATTTAGATCTTGAAGAGACCTAGAGGAGCATCAGCCCCTCACTTTAGAGGAAACTAAGGCCCAAAGAGCAAAGTGACTAGCTGAGGTCACTCAATCACTTATACCAAGAATTAGGACCAGAAGATAGGTCCTGCATCCCAGTCTGTGGCCACACATTACCAGTTTGGCTGGGTCCACTCTTTCGCTGCATGAGGTCCACAAGGCTCATTAAGTGGGCGTGCTCCTGGGCCACATTCCATGGTACATCGATGGTGGTGATGTTCCCGTACTGGAGCACCGACACCTGAGTGCCATGGGGCCCTGAGAAGAAAGAGAAAAACAGGAATTACACTTTGAAACAGGTAGAACCCCAAAAGGAGCCTCCTCTTAATCTGTCTCTTCAGGCGCATCACTCACCTATATTGGCTTTGGAGATGAAAGCCTTGGTGAAGCTTTTCATTTCCTCAAAGTAAGAAACTGGAAAGCTGGAGGAGCCGTCCAGGAGAAGAACCACATCCAGGGGCTGACTGCAGTCTGCAAAGGGACCAGGGAGGTTAGCACACAGGTGCCAACAGGGAAAGGGAGACTCAGCCACCAGGTCCACAGCAAGATGCCCACCTCAGTGGGCTCTACAGGGTACTGTCTACCATGTGGCACCATGAGGGGGGGTGCCTCCATTAGTCCTGTGTGATGGCAACATGGGCCAGGGAGAAGGGAAAGAGGGAGATGGAGTTCCCGGGCCCAGGTTTGGAGATACTGGGAAGACTCCAACTCCACCCAAAGTTACTTTGAAAATCCTACAAAGGAAAGTAGGAGTCATCAGCTCCCTCGGTAACAAGAGTCTGCAACTCTTCTAGGACTGAGTGAAATATTGGAGTGGAAAAACAGAGAAATGGCCAAAGGAAATGAAACAGCAGCATATCCCTGGAAAACAAGCTCATGGATTCTCAGGTCATATGTGGTAGGTTAGAGTACTATTACCAGTTACCAGTTTCTGTTGAGTGGATCCCGACTCATGGCAATACCGTGTGTGTCACAGTAGAACTGTGCTCCATAGAGTTTTCAATGGCTGATTTTTCAGAAGTAAATCTCCAGGCCTTTCTTTTAAGGTGCCTCTGGGTAGACTCGGACCGCCAACCTTTTGGTTAGCAGCCGAGCACATTAACTTTGCACCACTCAGTCACTATAAGGTAGTCTAATGATAAATGCCCAGTGCTCATTTTAATGTTTGGGGATAAAGCCATGATCACAGTAAGGAAACACACGCTGGTCTAAATATCATTCTGAGATTTGATAAGATAATGTCCTTACTGTTCTCCTCAACAGAAATATCACAAGAATCTAAATAAATCTGTGGCTCTGATTAAAGAAAAAAAAAAGAGGCATTGATAACAAGTGTGAGGATCAAGAGACATGAAAAGAAAGCTAGTTATCCTGGCAAGGCCCCAAACATACCAAATAAAGACATGCAAGAATAGGAATTGAATAGACACCAGTATTGATTCAGAAGGCAATTATAGTTGTGGTAGTAAGTTTTGGTTTTTTTTCTTTTAGCACTTGCTATGTGCTAGGTACTGTTCTAAGCATTTTACAAGTAGGTGCTATTACTATCCCCATTTTACAGATGAGGAGCCTGACGTCCAGAGAGGTTACATACTTGCCCCAAATCACCTGGCTAGTGAGTAGCAGAGGTGAGATTCAAACTCAGGCAGTCTGGCTGCAGAGTCTGAGGACTTACCCTGCTACCTATCACCTGACTTCCCTAACATATGCATCTCTAGGGCTTTCCTTCAAAGAATGTCGGTTACTTAGAATAATTTCATCCATCCAGTGTGGTCAAAAGGAAGCTGATAGTCACCAAATTTAACCAGGGTTACCTCTGAGGCAGGGAGTGGGACTGGATGAGGATAAGTCTTTGTGATAAAGTAAGACTTACACTTTATACCCCATACTTAGTATTGATTAAATTTCAACAGTAACCATGAACTACCTTTGAATTTAAAAGCACACACAAAAATAAAAGATCCTTCCCCAAAAAGCATCACAAAACTATCTCCTTGCCTGGGAGGTGAGGAAACACAGGCAGCTGAAGGCAGGGATTGGACCAGGGGCACAGAGCAGGGAAGCCAGGATTAGAGCCCGAGAACCCCACCTTGATGGATGACGCAGCCCCATGGCCATGCCCGGGCCCTTTTTGCAGCCCTCCTACCTGGACAAAAAGGCACCTGCATTACCTGGGGCTGGGGAGAGGGTGGGGATCCTCAGCCCCTTCCCAGAGCAGCACCTCTGTAGCACCAGGTCTGGAGCCTCTCGAGGGAGGGTCTCAAAGTCCTGGATGAGAATGGGGGCATTGGGCCAGCTGATCCTCTCCAGCTCCTGCTTGTTCACATGCGGGCCCACTCCAATGGGCACCACTTGAATGTCTCCAGGCAGCCGCTTGATCTCATCAGAGGCAGGGTTTCCTGTGATCATGTAGACCAGGTTAGGCGCCTGCTCACGGTCCCCCTGGCTCGTAGAGAAGCTGTGCTCAGAGACGTACTGTAGGGCCAGCCCAGTGTTGGTCCTGTTGCCACCCTGGTAGCGGATCTCTCGCACATGCTGCAGAACGTCTCCCTTGGACTGTGTCTCACCGAAGGTGTACTCCACCATGACCATGTACGAGTACTGCAGCACGGTGATGTGGATGCTGTCCTGGCCCACGTCCATCCGCTGGATCACCTCCTCCATGAACTCCTTGCTCCGGTTGAAGCTGGCTTCGCCAACCTTGTCTGACCCCTCCACGAGAAACACCACATCCAGGACCATGGAGCTCCTGGTGGGCCCCAAAGAAGAAACCCCCAAGAAGCCAGGACCCACTGTGACTTGTGCCACGCTGGGAGGCTCAGTTGGGGCTGGCACTTCAGGGGCCAGGTCACAGAGGAAGTTGACAATCTCGTCCCTTCTCTGCTCTAGCTCGTCCACACTGCTAAGCACAAAGGCCTTGTTCTCAGGGGACTGCTTCTCAATAAGACGGATTTGCTTGATGTTGGCATGGGGCCCAATGCCCACCGGGATCACAATGACCTTCTTCTTCTTCAGGCCCTGCACATAGCGGACCAAGTTCCGGGCCATCCGTGGGGGCTCCTGGCTAGCTGTCAGGAGCAGGGCAATGCGGGAGGCTTCGGGGCGGTCAGCCTTGCCAAAGATTTGGAACAGGGTGTACTTCAAGACCTCACTGGTGGAGGCCACCTGGCTGCCCACATACTTCACCTGACCAGCAATGCGTCGAAGCTCTGAGGGCCGCTTCCGGTCCCTGAGGTCAATGTAGGAGTGGGAGCCGTCATGGTACTCCACCACGGCCACACGGATCCGCTTCTGGGAGATGTGCAGCCGCTCCATCATGTCCACCACAAAGACCTTTAGCACGTCAAACTCAGCCTCTGACAGCTTGGAGGAGCCGTCCAGCAGGAAAGCCAGGTCCAGCAGCTTGCTACAGTAGAGGTCGTGCAGGGGCAGCTCTGGGATGTCCTCCACATATGGCGTGGTGGCACTGACTGGGGCTACTGTTGGGGGCAGCGCAAGGCCTCCTGGCTCCTGGCAGGCTTCACAGGTCAAGTTAACACCATCACAGTGACTGCAGCACAAGGGAGAAACAAAATGGTTCAGGAAGAACCTACGGGCATGTCTCAGCGCTATTCAGAACTGTCATGGTTAATTTTATGTCTCAGCTTGGTCAGGCTATGGTTCCCAGCTGTTTGGCCAAACACTAGTCTAGTTGATGTTCCATAACGTAATCTAACATAAATTATAACGTAATTACCTTCCTTAATGTAATCTAATGTAATACACTCAATCAATAAGTTGAAAAGAGAGTTTCTCTAGGGTATGTTCCGCCTCCAGACTATAAACAGATATTTTGACAGAACTTTACTCTAAACTCCTTGCCACCTGACATACAGATCTTGGGATGCAAGCTCGCAGGAATCTCCAGCCTGTCGCCTGACCTACAGATTTTGGACTTGCCAGCCCCTATAATCACATGACCCAATTCCTTGAAGTAAATCAATCTGTTGGGGGGGAGGGGTGTGTACACATATATATGTATGTATGTATACATATACATATATTTATATTTATATATATCTCACTGGTTCTGTTTCTCTAGAGAACCCTATGACAAGAACCATTGTACATAGAACTGCCTGCTTGGTCCACCTGAATCTGAGCTCCCATGGAACATTCCTCAGCCAAGTGAGACTTGTTTCTTTAGAGGGGTCCCCTCCTCTGGCTAAAGCCTGTTCCCCTTAGCACCTTCAGGTATGGTCCACTCCACCTCTTCCAAACACACAGACCTTCTAAGTCTTTGGCCCTCAATACTGCTTTATCCTCATCTCCCACTCTTCCCAGCACTCCAGCTATGCCAGGCTATAGGCAGCTTGCAAAGCTCATCGCACTGCTCCATAGCTCCATGGCTTTGCACATGTTGCTCCTGCTTCTGGAGATGCACTCCATACCATCTTTGTCTTCTGCAAATTCCACCTTCCACAGGTGAGACATCATTTTTAACACACGTCTCCAAATAGCACCACCCCCTCTGAAGCAGAGGTTCCCCTGGACTCTAGAAGCCTAAGCTTCAATCCATTCTTGGTGGCAGAAAGACTCTTTTTTGCTTCTGGACCATGCTCTACAACCTACACAGTTATTCAAAATTTCTTTTCAACCTAAGGCTCTAGCAACATAGATATTTAATTATAATCCAAACCTTATTGCAAGTATCTGTAAGGACAAATATTGCTATAAAAAGTTGACACTAATCAGGACTTGTAAATGTTCTATTGACAGTTAATGCTTTGTAATACTTATTATAATAGAATTTTACCTGTTTAACATGGTATTTTGAATCATGTTTAATATGTTGGGCCTTAAGGAAGAGAGGAAAAACAGGAATAAAAAAGTTTTTGAAAGATGGACACAGATTCAAACTTCCAGCTTTATCTAGCAGGATAAAGTACTTGGGAGGAGTCTACGGGGGTCTCCAAGGTGTTAGACATAGGAAAAGAGAATAGCTCATTCATTTATTCTCCCAACGGACATGTATGTAGCACTGATTATGTACCAGGTGCTGGCTAGGCCCTGCACCCAGCCACAAGGACATGCCACAAACCCATAGCAGAGCAGTTGTCCCACACATAAATTCCTACACTACCAGGCCAAATTTTCAGGCTCTTCTGGTCATATCACCCTTTCACCAATGTCCTGGAAAGTGGCAGGGAGTACCAGACCAACAAAAAACAAAAAACCAAACCAGTTGCCATCAAGTCAATTCTGGTCTACCATATGTTAAACACAGCAGAAGTGTGCCCCATAGGGTTTTCAAGGCTGTGACATTTCAGCAGATTGCCAGGCCTGTCTTTCCAGGTGCCTCTGGGTAGGTTTGAACCTCCAACCTTTCAGTTCGTAGTCAAGTGTTTAACTGCTTGTGCCACCCAGGGATGCCTGTGCATGACCACAAGTGAAATCAACTTACCCTGAGGTGAAGACCACCAGGCTAGGACCTTCCCCCTCAGCCTTTGAGGCCACTTGTCTTCAGCACTCCCAGAAGAGTGGAGAAGGCAGCTGTGCCCTTGGCTCTGGGAAGCCTGACCTGTGGCTTGACTCCCAGGCAATGTCCCCAGCCTGCTCTGGAGTGACTGTCCACACCCTGTTTGAAGCCACAGGGTGTTCCCTGGTGGCTGCCCCTCCCCACGTGCCAGTGGAAGAAGATGGGGAGAGGACTCGAAGCTCTCATGCCCTATGGCTCAGATTCCCAAGCTAGCATTGGACTCACCCCTCCTTTCTTCCTTACAGTCTCCATTTCACCATAAGGAGGGTAGGCAGTTAATTCCTCCTTCCTCACAGCCCACACAATTCATTGCTTTAATCCTTGGCTAACAGTGCATGAGTAACATACGCTCTAGTTTCCTGTGTTTGCTAGAATACTCACCCTGGGCAGTGTTTGCTCTTGTTTGTACAGATGGTGGCAGCAGGATCTGACTCTGGCAGCTGTGGCCGCAGCACCCTCCCCAGCAAATTTAAGTTCTCAAGTTTAAGTTCCCATAAGGCTTGATCAGTGTCAGGGAGTGGTGTTGAATTTATCAACATTTTAATAAATGTTCCCTACTTATGCACAAGATATCAGAAAGCTCAGAGCTCACCCGAGGACTTCTGCTCACCTCCCCAGAGGCCAGTTTCCCAGGGGCAACCCTCTCCAGGGACAGCCTAGAGTCAGAGACATGGGTGTTTTCCCCCCAGTTATGGAAGTCATGTCTGGTGACCTTGGCTATGCTCCCCAAGGTGTCTACGTTACACTGAGGGGTGAGGGGCTCCATCTTGCTTTCCTCTCCAGCACATCTACCTCCAGTAAAAGAGAAATCTGACTTGCATAGACACCTGTCCTTGGACTAAACACGACCTCTGGGGACAATAAGAAACCATGCCCTGCCTTCAGCGAGAAAGGAATATGTAAAAGCCTTTTAAGAAATATATTTGGGGGAAGAGATCTAGCCTGTCTTTAAAGAAAGAGAACCAAATTCTACAGACTAAATAAAAAACTCAATGTCTCAACTCATTAGCTAGTTTTAACCAAAATCTAAGTCTCTGAACAAGCCCCAGAAACATGGGAAGACTCATCACTTCAAACATCCAGGAAGTCTGTTTTACCAGATCTGGCAGTGCTTCAGGTCGCTGGGGTTCAAGGTGACTTTCTCTCCCTGGGGTAAGCGCCGGCCGGCCACCTCACACAGGGGGCAGTCTTCAAGGTCGATGCAGGTCTGCAAAAGCTCATCCAGGATCTTCCCTGAACAACAAACTCTCATCAGGAGACAAAACTCCCACCCTGCCCACAAGGAAGATCCTCTGTTAACTAAAGGGGCCTGTCCCATACACCAGCTCAGGGTTCACTCCTGCCTCCCCCAGTGGTCACCTCAGCACCTAGGGATGATCCCCTTCTTTCTTTGTGCCTTGATATATCCCTCTGTAAAACTGGGAAGCATGTACTACTTCACCCTACCTCACCTCCCCCAAGCCTAGGATAAATGAAATCTTATCTGCAAGGGTCTTTTCGCTCCACAGAAGAATATATTCAATAGCTCTAGATCTGTGCTGTGCAATACAATAGCCATCAGCCATATGTGGCTATTTAAATTTAAATAAAATCAAAAATTAATTCCTCAGTCACACAAGTCACATTTGAATAGAGTATTTCCATCATTGCATCTGAAAGTGCTGCTTTAGATGATAAACCCATAAACCAATAACTAGTTGCCATCAAGTGAATTTTGACTCATGGCAACCCCATTTGTGTCAGGATAGAATTGTGATCCACGGTGCTTTCAATAGCTGACTTTTCAGAAGCAGATCACCAGGACTTTCTTCCAAGGTGCCTCTGAGTGTATTCGAACCTCCAACCTTTCAGTTAGCAGCTGAGTGCTTAATCATTTGTGCCCCTCAGGGACTCCAAACCCATAAAGAGTCATACAAAACCATTTTATAGGAGTTCAACTTGACAAAAATTATAGCTGGCCTGGCTTTGATGAAAAGGTCCATGAAAACCGAACCTAGGGCTGTAGGGCTGGGGATAAGACACTCCTGAGTAAAGGTTGAAAAGAGGCAGGACAGGAAAATACCTTTCCTAACAATTTACACCCTCCCTCCAGCCTGAGACCCAGCCAGGAACTGAGTGTTCCACCTGCCTCGCTGAGGCCTTACCTGGAGGGCAGTATGCATAGCAGCCCTCCACACACTGCACGGGACATGCCAGTGGCTCAGGGTGCTGGCAAGTGATGGGACAGGCGGGAGCACAGCTGTTATAGCGCCACTCGCACTCATACCCATTTTCCCGCAGATTCCTCTCCTCGCAGCTTTGGGCTGTTGAGACAGAAGAAACGGGCCATGACTATTCAAGCACCAGGCAGTCCTGTGCAACCCAAGAAGCCAGGACTGCACAGAAGGCCCAGAATAGATGGGGGTGATACTAATGGTGGTGATGGCTTTGGGAGAGGTGATGATCACACTGGAGAACTAAGAGCAATAGGACTTTACTGGCACTGACAGTCACCAATATTAGAGACTTCTGGATTTCTAAAGCACTTAAACCAGGAGCCAAGTGGCCCTGAGTTGGTTTTCCATACCAAAAAAAAACCCATTGCTGTCAAGTCAATTCTGACTCATAGCAACCCTATAGGACAGAGTAGAGCTACCCCCACAGAGTCTCTAAGGAGCGCCTGGTGGATTTGAACTGCCAGCCTTTTGGTTAGCAGACGTAGCTCTTAACCGCTATGCCACCAGGGTTTTCCACAGGTGTATGAAAAAGATTAGCTGCTTGCACCTGAGGAAGGAAGGCTCTACATAAATGTATGAGCTGATTAGTCATACTGACAAATATGACAGTGACTAATTAAAGACATATATTGATGTCCTTCTTCTCTTCATCAGTGTTCCCTCTTCCAGAATTTCTCTGGAAGAAAAGTCTCCACATATTAATGTTTTGAGTCTCTGACTCTTCTCTCCCCCATTATACTAACTCCTTACACCCATCAATCTCTTTAAGCACTCTTCAGCCCTTGTCCATCCATCCCCATACTAGGACTCTATCTTTTCTCCCATGATGGTGTCCTCCTGCACCCTACAAGTCCTCAAGTAGGGCGAGGGGAGGGGCATCTGAGGGTCATGAGGAACATAAGGACTCACGGCACAGTGTGGCCGTCCTCCAGGTCACCACCTTGCCATGCTGGGCACACACGTGGGCATAGGCAGCAATGGTGTCACAGAAGCAGGCGCAGTCCCCAATGGACTCACAGGAGCAGGTATCGTAAATGCAGGCATCCAGGTATGGCTCAGGGTCCACCTGCAAAGGGAGCCTCAGGGTGGCCTAGGCCTGGAGCAAGGGCTTAGGAACTCTGACTCTTGGTCTGGGTGAGAATGTTCTGGCAGTCAGAGTAAGGGAAAGGAGGCTCCAGGGTACAGGGAGAAATGTAGTTCAATAGTCCCAAACAGGGAATGGGTAAAAAGCAGGATTCCTAGGTTCTAATCTGGATTCCAGCAAGAAACGTTGGATAAAGCATTGTCAGCCTTTCGTAGAATATGAGGTGCCTGAGAATTGTTCAAAGGAACATTCCCATCTATCTATCTGTCTGCCTACCAGTCATCTATCCCTCCCCTTAACCCACTCCCAACCTCATGGGTGTTTGAGTGTTTTTACATAAACACAAAACACACATACTGGTCACTCTCTTTCCTTGTTTCAATTCAGCAAAGAGAATGAAAAAAATACATCAAGACCCCCTAACGCTCGTTCACTGAGGTGCTATGCGGCTAGTATGCTGAATAGTGTGACAGCACTGAGTACTCCGCGACCCTGACCCCAAATCCACTTGGAGGGGTAGCTCACTTGCCATCTATGCACAATTACGGTAATCACTCGTCACTTTGCCTGGCTCTCAAAACATACCACTACACACGCCAGCATGTTTTAGGGAAGTTCTGTTAGAAATGAATTCAGAAATTAAATGGGGTCACTGTTTCAAGAGGTTCCAACAGCTCTGATTTCCCTGGCTCCTCTCACTGTCTTCCCCCTTTCAGTTTAGATGTCCAGTGTTTCCACCAAGTCAGGGAATCCTAAGTATCCTTTGGAGCTCTCAGGGACTAAAAATCATTGGAAGGATACAAACAGAGCTGAGATACACGTATTCAACCAGTCACTCCCATGGTGGCCAAGCTACACAGCAGCATGTGTAGGTACATGATTGTCTATGTGTGTGTACATCCATGTGTGTGGGTATGTGTGTGTATGTGTACAGATATATACAGAAAGAGAAAGCACTGCATTCAACTTTGTACTGGGAATTCCTTACCACCATTTGAGATAAAGACACAAAAAGGAGTCAAAAATGAAAACTCGAGGTAAGGCCAGAAAAGAGTTTCTGTGGAAGAACTGAGGACTGAAGGGTTTTGTGAGGGGACGTGCTTAGGTCTGGAAACATAGAGGGGTGACAGGAAAAGGAAATCCCTGGCTCAAGTTTGAGACAAGATAATTCAATGGACGAACAAGTCAAAATGAGAAGTGTTGGCAGATGCCAAGAAAAGCTGCACACTATGTAGAAGGAAAATGTTTTTTCAGGCATTGCTTTCCTCAGAAACTGTCCATTACCCCTTTTGTTTACCAGGCTGAAGCCAAGAAAGGGACTAAAGGGTTGCCTGTTGTTGTATACCCTCAAGTTGATTTCAACTCATAGTGACCCCATGTGCACAGTAGAACTGCCCCATAGAGTTTTCTTGGCTGTAATCTTTACAAGAGCAGATTGCCAGGTCTTTCTCCCACAGAGTTTTCAGGCAGCGGCCAAGTACTTAACCATTGCACCACCAAGCCTCCTTAAAAAGGTGCAGGTTATTTCAAAGACTTCCATATTAGAAGCTCGAGCTCTGAGTGCCCTTAGCACTACTCTGCCTCCAGTAACCCCCAAGGCCCTCACCAGCTTGTTGCAGTCCTGGAAAAGGTCACTGGTCAGGATCCCGCAGGAAGAATCCACCATCGTCTGCTTCATGATGTTATTGTGGCAAGAGGCAGGGGAGGAGTCCAGCGGCACCTGGGGAGCAGGGCAGGAGCACACAGATAGACCAGCCAACAGTCAGACAGTCAGAGTGGGTGTGCTCAAGCCACAAGGATCCAGAGGTCCTCTTCCCCAGCCACCACCAGCAGTTCATACCCCACACCCCAATGAGAATGGGGGATACATTCAGGAAGCAGGCCTCTCAGGCTCAGTCCACACAGACCCAAACGTACTTTCTTGGTATCAGCACACTGTGGGTTCACTTTCCAGGAATTCCCAAAGTCCACAGGGTCTTCTTCCACTTGGAGGTTGCTGCTGGTGAAGTCATTGTTCTGGATGCCATCAAAATTCCCACACAGGCCACATACTTGTTCCTTGACAGACAAGTAGAGAGGATGAGCATTGTAAACCTCAGGGGCATACTCTCTGAAGGGGAAGGAGAAGGTTCCAGGCAGCAAAGGCGGCAAGGGTCGTCTGAGGAAGAGGGGGATGGATAGAGGGATGGATGGATGGAGACCCAGAGGGGGAACCAGGGTGATCAGCAGAGCCTTGCCCTGGGCTTTCTCACTGGCCCCATTTTAAAGTTAAGGAAACTAAGGTGATTCACAAGAAGACCATCAGATAGTGATGCTCACATAGTGAGCCAAGGACAGAAGTGGAAATAAGGCAGCCTTGGCCCTGGAACCCTCGGTTTGAACCATCCCCTTCCCCAATAAGAGTACGAGCAAAGAGAGGTGCCGGTTCAATGTTATGTCAGTAAGAGCACAGAGATCCAAGGACGGAATATTACAGACCAGTCCCTGGAGATGGACATCATACTTGCTAAAGAAGAGGTTCAGCGAAAAAGAGAAAGACCCTCAACAAGATGGACTGACATCGTGGCTGCAAAAATGGGCTCAAACATAGCAACGATTGTGAGGATGGCACAGGGCCGGACAGTGCTTCACTCTGTTGTACACAGGGTCACTATGAGTCAGAACTGACTCAACGGGATCTAACAACAACAACAAAAACTTTACCATGGGCAGGTGAGCCCCCTTACCTGGAGAACTGCAGCCTGGCTGCTCTATAACAAAGACCACTAGGGAAGATATGATACCTTATTCAACTCCATGTTCACCTATCGCCATGTGCAGTATGTAACACATCCTCAACAAGTAATTACTGAATAAATCAAAGCCATCAAATAAAAACTACAGAAAGAACTGAAGTTGTTTGGCCTGGAAAAGATGATCTACTCTCACAACATATTCAGAACCCTCTCTTGGGACAAAGATATGTGATTTATTCTATTTTATGTTGATAAACAGAAATCAGCTTGGTACAATGAATGTAAATTGCTGGGAAACATGTAAGAAGAATGTTTTCACAGTTGGACAATAGGCCAAAGATCTTTACATAGTCTAACAGCCCCCTCCCCATGGTATGGTCCCTGCCCTCATTTCCTACCATTCACCCTGAGTCTCTCCTCTCTAACTACACTGGCCTCCTTGCTCAAACACTCCTAGCATCTTTCCACCTCAGGGCCTTTGCACTTGCAGTCCGTCTGCACCCATGTCTCTTCCCCCAGATATTGACATGGCTCACTCCATCCCCTCCCTGAAGACTCTGCTCACATGTAACCTCTTCAGACAGGGCTCATCAGACCATCCTACCCAAAATAATATCCCTGCCAAAACATCATCTCCACAGGGTTGTGGTAGGCAGAATAATGGCCCCTAAAGATGCTCACATCCTAATCCCCAGAATCTGTGAATATGTTACCTTACATGGTGTTAAGGTTTGAATTGTGTCCCGCAAAAATATGTATTGTAAATCCTAACCCCTATATCTGGGATTATAATCCCATTTGGAAACAAGTTTTCTTTGTTATGTCAATGAGACAGTATTAGTGTAGGGTGTGTCTTGAGTCCATCTCTTTTGAGATATAAAAAGATCAGACTAAGAAGCAAGCAGAGATGGGAGAAGAGAGATCCAAGCCACATGAAGATCATCCCGGAGCAGAAGCTCAAAGAGACAAGGACCTTCCACAGAGCCGACAGAGAGAGAAAGTCGTCCCCTAGAGTTGGCACCCTGAATTTGGACTTCTAGCCTCCTAAACTGTGAGAAAATAAACTTCTGTTTATTAAAGTCACCCACTTGTGATATTTCTGTTATAGCAGCACTAGATAACTAAGACACATGGCAAAAGGGACTTTGCAGATATGACTGAGTTAAGGATCTTGAGATTGGGAGATTCTCCTGGATTATACAGGTGAGCCCAATGTAATCACAGGGTCCTCATAAGAGAGAGAGTCAGGAGGGTCAGAGTGAGAAAAATTAATGTGACAAACGGAAGCAGAGAGAGAGAGATTTGAAGATGTAGTATGGGGGCCGTAAGCCAAGGAATGGAGGCAACCTATAAAAGCTAGAAACAGCAAGGAAACAGATCCTCCTCTAGACCCTCCAGAAGGAATGTAGTCCTGCTGACCAATTTTAGGCTTCTGTCCTCCAGAACTATAAGATAATAAATTTATGTTGTTTTAAGCCCCTAAGTTTGTGGTAATTTGTTACAGCAGCAATAGAAAATAATATAAAGGTTAAAAAAAAAGGTCTGTTTTTTTCCCCTGCTGTATCTACAGTGCCTGGAACAGTGTCTGACACATAAAAAAAAAAAAAAAAAATGGCTGCCATCAAGTTGACTCCGGCTCATGGCAACCCCATGTGTGTCAGAGCAGAACTGTGCTCTATGGAGTTTTCAATGGCTGAGTTTTTGGAAGCAGATCACCACACCTTTCTTCCGAGGTACTGATGGGTAGGCTCAAATTTCAACCTTTCAGTTAGCGGTTAAGTGTGTTAACCATTTGCACCACCCAGGGATTTCCTGATACGTACTAGGAACTCAATAATTATTTGCTGAATGAATGAATGAGTGAATTGTTAATGCTTTCCAGGAAAGGAATGGGCTGCCCTGTGAAGAAGTAAGGAGAATGCACCCCTCACTTGTGTGCACAAGCTGAAAATGGATGGCGCTATCAGAGATGCTCTGAACATCATTCCTGCAAAGACTAAATCAGCCACCACAGTAGACAGAGCTGCTTATCACATGCATGCCAGTTAAAGAAAAAGTTAAAGTCCCAACAAACAGTTAGATATTGGACAAATACTGTAAGCTTTCTCAAAAGTAGGTTATCAGCAATTTTACAAATAGCTCTCAAAATTGGCTGACCTTTGGCTCAATGGTAAGTCAACAAGCCAGAATACTTTGCAGTGTTTATAATAATGTTTTGCATGATCAGTTTGCCTCTTGAATTAAGAAACCTAAGGAAAAGCTACTGCCTAATCTTTTACTTCCTTCTTCAGATATCAACTGCATGCCTGGCAAAACCAGTCAATGAACTGTTTGTGTATGGGGCAACCCTCAATCCTTCCCACATGCAGGCAGACTCAGAGCAACCCAGCCACAGCTAACTCTAAACCTTGAGTCAAGGAGGCTGGACTAGATGACCACCTCCTCTAGAAACAGGGGGGAGGAGCAGTGGGCAGCCACTCAGGAAGCTGAAGAAAGTCCAAGTCATGGACAAGCTGAAGAGTAAGGTGAGAAAGGCCACTGACCCGGTATGTCTGCTTCAGGATCACTGAGACAAACAGGTGATGGTCCCAGACCACAGAGAGTGCTTTGCCCAGCAGCAGAATGACATATCGGCCAGACTCCACCACCTCAAAGTGAGTCTCATCCTTCATGGACCTCTTCACATTCACCTGAACGAAGACAAGGTGTGAAAGCAGGGAGGAGGCAGGAGGGACATGATTTTTCAGACCATCCCTCTACCCCACACCCACCCTATCTGTCTCTACTGCCCTCCAGCATCACACCTGTCATCTGCCCCACTAAGTCAGGGCTCACTCACCCTGTCAGGGCCAGGACTGTGCCTGGACTTGCCTCCATCCATCTCACCTGCCACCCTCCAAGAAATGTATGACTAAGGGACAATTATAGGAGCAGCAGCCAAATCATAATCCTAAGATTAAAAATACAACCAGACCAATCAGCAGAAGATTTTCCATCACTTCACAAACAGCAGTTTTACTGGCACTTGGTCTTTAAATACATGTGGTCTCCTAAATGGGTTTTAGATGTGGCAATAATTTTAAGCGCCTCTAGCCAACTGATTAAAAAATCTATCCCTTAATAAAAACGGGCACCACACTCCAACCTTACCTGTGTCTTCCCACCTCCCACTCCCCAGAGTCATTGTGATCAGGGATCAGGGCCGAAGGAGAACAGAGAGACTGAGGAGCACAGCTCTATGCCAGGAATCACATATTTTGGTTTTCCAGAAGGACCCTGGCCTGAGCCCTTGACTTGGCCAAATCATTGCCAGTGCCTTCCTCAAAGCCCATCTCAGCGTGCTTGGCTATCGAATCCATAAAATTGAGGCTGATACTGAAAACCTGTCACGCCCTTGCAAAGGTCCTCTTCTGGTGGAATACAACATGCAGAGCTAATCATATGTGCAAATTTATGGCTTGTATGTTTGCACACGTGTTCAATATCACCACTGCCACCTGTCCTAAATTAAGTGTCGTTTGAAATGGAGTTGACACTGCTGACCCACAGTCAATGGTGATGCTAGCTAAAGAGTTTTCTTCCATAATGGTAAAGAAGTCACCCTCCATTCCCTGAGCTCAGTGGCGTGTATTTGCAAAAAGGTGAGGTTGCAGTCTGAGGCCATGGAATAAAGTGCAGGTAACTGCCCAAGACAGGTTTGGTCCCAGAGCCTGGATCTTCCCAGGATTATATAGAGTCAGAGAGGCTGAACCCACTAGATTTTCCCAAAAGTGAGGTCTACGGACCACCTGCTTTAGAATCTCTGCCACTTTAAATGCAGATTCCTGGGCCCCACCCCAGACCTACTGAGTTAGAATCTCAGGGTGGAGATTTAAAATGAGATCTCCTGGGTGATTCCTGTGTACTCTTCTGAGAACTACTTCCTAAGCACTTAGCACACAGGGACTGGATCTGTTTACTTCTATTTTGAGGACCTTACACAGAGAGCTCTGAAAAAGATTATCTAAAAACGTAAAAGAAAGTAAACCCCCCCCAAGCCCAGCACTCCTCACCCCACCCTATCCCACCTACGCCCCCCACAAAATATATATATATATATATACATACATATATATATGATTGCTGGCCTTATGGGGGATTTTATATATAATAATATACTATAAAATACTACACATATATATATAATAAAGAAAAGCCCCTTGCCACCCATTTCCCACTCCACTCTCCAGAGGTAGGTGCTGATTCTTCTTATACTTAAGCAGATATAGTTACATATCTTTCTCCACACATATATCTATACTTTACGTTACTAAGATGGGATCATGCTATCTATATTGGTCAGCAACTTGTTTTCACAGAATAATATGTCGAGATCAGATGATACGTTTTTTCTTCATTCTCTTAATGGCTGCCCATTATTTCATTCATACCAGTTCTAAGTGAATGCTTGATACAAGCCCTTAATAAGCTAACAGAGAACAAAGCAGGAAATGAGGGAGGAAAGGATGAGGCTGGCACTTACCTCCCCATCAAACAGTTCAATCTCTCCTCCATCAAGCAGGATAGTGACCCGCTTTTTGCACTTCACTGAGGGGTAGCTGCACCCCTCATTCCCCACCAGGATGCGAAAGGTCCCAGGGTTGCCGCCACAGTAATCCTGGGGAAAGAGAGGTTCCAAGAGAGAAACGTTATGCCTGCTACCTCTACCCAGATCAGAAGACTGGCATCTCGTCATCTCAGTCCTTTGAATATGTATTACAGGGTGTCACCATATCCGTGTGTGTGTGTGTGTGTGTGTGTGTGTGTGTGTATGAGAAAGAGACAGAGAGGAGAGACAGGCACAGGTTAGCTCCCTCAGGTGTGTCATTCTCAGCTACTACATCCTGCTGATGTCTTCAGTCGGTGGTGGGAGGGAAAGAGTGGTAAGGAGCACAAGGTGGAGAAGGAGGGGAGAAGAAGAGAAAAAAGTGACATGTGGCATGCTTTTATGGTATATCAGGCTAAAACCCTTACTTACAGCCCACTGGATCTCGGTTCTGCCCAGGTAACTAGGACAGTTTGACCACGCAGCATCTATTGTTCTAAATTCTGGCTGGATCCCTCTGGACTGCTAGCCCAGAAATGTAACCAAAGGCCATCTGAGGGAGCTTCACGCCTCCTGAGCTAGCATTTCTAGTTGGGAGGAGAGGATGAGGGATCACTGGTCCTTTTTGGTCAATTGTATAGAAGTTGAACAAAAGGGGATTATGTTCTAGAAAATACCTTCCCACAGTGGCTATGATTATTAATTACTGTGGTGTGAAGGGACAAAATACAACACTCAACTTAGAAAAACTAGGTGTGGGCCTTAGTTCTACCACTTATTGTGGAACCTTGAATAAGTCATTCACTCTCTGATACCCCCACACACACATACACACACACACTCCATCTGCCCTGTGATAAGATGAGGATCAGCCAACTTCATGGGACTGTTGTGAAGGTTAAAAGAAGGAACAAGTGTACAAGTGCTTCACAAACTGCCAATGTGTTCATGTTACCAGCTGAGATTTTTCTGAAGGAGGAAGAGTTGAGTCCTGATATCTCCCAAAGGAGAAAAGGAGAGAGGGAAGGCAGACCCAGGACAAGTAGCAGAAGGGGCCAAGAAAACCGCTTGCAGAGAAGAAAAGCAAGCAACAAGCACCAGTTGCCATTGAATCGATTCCAACTCATGGCGACCCCATGCATGCAGAGTAGAACTGCTCCACAGAGTTTTATTTAGTTATATATATATATATAAAACCCACTGCCACTGAATCGATTCCAACTCATAGCAACCTTATGGGACAGAGTAGAATTGCCCCATAGGGTTTCCAAGGCTTTAACTTTACGGAAGAAGACTACCACATCTTTCTCCCACGGAGTCGCTGGTAGGTTCAAACTGTCAGCCTTTCAGTTAGCAGCGGAGCTCTTAACCACTACACCAGCAGGGCTCCTATATATATATACAGTTTATTTTATTCCACATGGCTGTGACCTTTCAAAAGCAGATTGCCAGGCCTGTCCTCCAAGGCATCTATGGGTGGGGTCGAACTGCTAACCTTTCGGTTAGTAGCCGAGTGCTTAACGGTTTAAGCCACCCAGAGAATCCCAGCAACACATAAGGGGCCACACACTGAAAAGGGACTCTAAAACTGCTGGTAAAGCTTTGCCTGGCAGGGGACGAGTTGGAAGCAGTGGGTGCTGATCCAGCTGCTTCCAGTTGCACTGAATTAGTTGTCTTTTTTATGATGCTCTGATTTGAAACTGGCTTAGCAGTTGAGCCCCAAAACTGGTGTCACCTTTTGCTACCAAGGATGAGAGGCAAGAAAACATCAAAAGAAAGGTTTGCATATATAATCTGGGGAAAGCTCTGGAATGGAAAATACCCCAAGGTCACAGTGTCTGTAGGACGATTTCTGCCTCACCAGCACACCGTAAGCCTCTCTGAGCCAAGCCCTGGGGTATGTGAGGCGAAGGCGCTCCTGGGTGGAGCTGCTGCTGCTGCTTTTGCCCCATTCCCAGCATGCTCTGCACGTGCAGCACCCAGTTACCAGGGCCTCTGACTCACAGTGTCTGCAGCTCAGTCTCTGGGGCTAAGACTCCTATGGCTTGTGGTCCTTCCTTCAGACCACACCAAACCCCCTCCTGGGAATGGAGACAGAGAGACCACATTTATTTAAAACTTCACCTCCTTGTTTACCCTTTTGGTGTCAACCAGCAACAGAAATGTACAGGAATCCACGCACTGGGCAGGGGGAGGCAGAGGATTCCCTGGGCTCTTTCTCCTCTTGTTGGGTGATACGACTTTCTGTGCCTAAGCCCCCACTGCCTCCCCATTCTGAATTGTGCTGGTTTAGAAACGAAAATGGCAGAGAATGCAATAGGATTATAGTGTTGGAAGCAAATCCCAGGGGTCATCTCAACCATCCCCCTGTTCAGAGCTGCTGCAGATGGTCACGTAGACTGTTCACTGCACAAAGGTGCTAGCAGGGAGGGTGGGTGGGGACTGGAATCCAGCCTGGGCTCCACCTGCCAAACTGTGCGTCCTGATTGAGGCTGGGTCTACCCAAAGGAATGGATGCCTTTTCCTAATTCCACATTGGTGCTGATATGGGCTGATGGCAGCCTTCTAAACACCAATGCTGATCAACAAATGAGCTTATGCTCTGTTCTTACAAGTCTCCAGGGAGCTGGAGGGAAATGGACCAGCACTTTGAGTCTCAGATCCCTTACCTCTTCAGACACTTCTTTTAGGGGTTGGAAATTTACTCCAGTAGAAACCAACCCCCAGAGTTTCTACAGACAGAACCCAACGTGGAACCCCACCCCTGAACTGCAGTCAGTACCTCCCATCCCCTCTAGAAACAGACAGCACCCTCCCCTCCTCTCCCTCATCTCACCTGCAGCAGGACGTACTGGCACTCCCCGGGGAACATGTACTTGAGCCCGTCGAAGGTGAGATAGTGTGCCATCCCCACCATGGAGCATGTGGCATCACACACGTTGTCCGTGCAGTTCCACTTCCGGTCCTGACAGACACTAGGAAAAGTAATGGCAAGGATGACCAATTGGGCACCCATGTGTGAGGAGTTCATCTGGACATTAGGGATGAGAGAGAGGAGAACGTAAATTCCTCCAGGGTACTACCCAGGAAGCCCTTGAAGAGGGAGGGGACCTGCAGCCTGCGGACCATGGAGCTCATAGAGGGCTTTGCTGGCATGTGCTTATGCATTTTCAGAGCATGGGACCCAACAGGAGAGTGGGAAGCCACCAAGGGGGGAACTGAGGCACACAGAAGGGAAGGCGCTGTTGAAGGTGTTCCAGGTAGCCAGGGAAGAAGCCTGGATTCTCTTTGGATCACCTACTATAGATTTTCTAAAGCTCATCCTCTCCCTGAAAGCTGCCTGAGAGTAGCCACGGGGTCTCCAAGAAAGAGAAACATGGAGATTAAAATCCTTCTGAGGCTAATAAGGAAAAACCAAGACAGAACAGCAGGAAAGTTGAGTCTGGAAAATAGTGACTGGCCGTGAACTTCAGCCAAGAGAGGTTTTATGTGTACATAGCTATATGTTTAAATCTATGGTGATCTGTTGACTGCCACACGCCCCATCCCACCACCACCGTGTAACCAGAGATGACATCAGGACGCCCACCCTGTGCGTCAGAGGTGGTAAGTTCAGACCTCAGGCCCCAGAGACAGCTAAGCCCCTTCGGGGTCCCAGCCCTTCCTGCCTCTGTCTGCACAGGCCTCTCCTGAAAGCTGAGAATAGCCCAGAAGTCAAAGGCTGAGGCTGAGCGGTGTGAGGGAGGTGAAAGAAAGAGAAGGAAAACCAGCTACCCTCACCAAGTTCCCTTCTCAAACTACCATTACAAACACTCGGAACTGGCTTACGATGCAGTATAAGGGACCTTTGCCAGATTGGTGACATATGCAATGACTGATATGGGACAAGCCTCTTATCTTCCCCGGGTCCCATCTTCCTGTGTGAAAATAATAATCTCTAGGATAGTGTCCATGCAGGGTGAGTAGAGGTGATGATAAAGATTCTTCCCCTTTTACAGATAGATGGAGGAACAGAAGCACAGAGAAAAGAAAAAGAGTAACCAGGGTTCCACAGGGTGCTGGAAGCAAGTTCCAAAGGCCCTGTGGCCATGACTTTCCCCATGGCTTCTTGATCTGCACCTCCCTTATGGCTCTGTCCCCAGGAAAGCCTCTCCCAGGGCCTCACCAAGTGTTGCAGTCAATCTTCACCATCTCTCCTGGAGCGTATTCTTTGCCCTGATGGAAGCAGGGACATCTTTCTAGGGCCACACATCTGTTTTCATGTCGGACCTAAGGCAAAAGAACCCAAAACCATGGGAGCCATAGTGACTGATCTAAAGCCCCTCTGGGGATGCATCGGCTGTGGCTTGAGCTCACCAGTGGGGCCAGCCCCAGGACCGAGACTGAGCCAAGGGGGCAGCCTTGGCCACAGGCCAGTCCCAGACAGGGAGGCCATGCCCAGGCTGTGGCTTGGTGAGCATGGGCTCCCATCTATGCTGAAATTCTGACCGCCCTCTGCCCTCTCAGCCCTTGCTGGAAGCATTGGAACCTGGCACACCTTTGTGAAAATACTTCAGCAACATGTGTCAGAAGCCCTTGAAATGTGCATATCCTTGTTGTTGGGTGCTATCTAGTCCATTCCAACTCATAGCGATGGAGCAGAACTGCTGCGTAGGGTTTTCCAGGCTGCAATCTTTACAGGAACAGATCGCCAAATCTTTTTTCCCATGGAGCCACTGAGTGGATTCGAACCACCAACCTTTTGGTTAGCAGCTAAGCGCTTAACCATTGTGTCACCAGGGATCCTTGTGCATATCCTTAGACTGAGTAACTCCACTTAGAGAATTTCTCCAAGGGAAATAATTAGAGTTATGGACAAAGATTAATGTAGAATTATTTATCATTACAAAAAAATGGAAACAACCAGGTGTCCAACAATAGAAAAATGATTAAATTCATTAAGGAATCTCAATGCGATGGTATCCTATGGAGTTATTAGAATGGCTCTTTGGAGGAATTATAAATGATGTAGGAAATATTTGTGCTGCTAATCTGCCAGAGGAGAAAACTGTATATACGTATGGTCCCAATTGTGAAACACTATATATATATATATATATATGTCTATATATATATATATGTCTATATACATATAAGTCTATATATATATATACATCTATATATATATATATATTTTTTTTTTTTTAATTAGAAGAAAATACAGACGTTGCCTCCAACTGACGTGCTGGGATAGGGAAGGGAGGCATTTTTTCTTTTTTTTTTTTCACTTTTAAAATTTTCCACATGTTCCTCAGTGAGGATGTATTATGTTTATAATCGAATAAAATGAACAAGATACTTAATAAAATTAATATGCACTTAATACCCTGGGGTGAAAGCTGAATATTGGCATTAGGCAAAGATGCTGGGTGGTACAAATGGTTAACGTGCTCAGCTGCTAACCAAAAGGTTAGCAGTTCGAGTCTACCCAGAGGCACCTTGGAAGAAAGGTCTGGTGATCTACTTCCAAAAAAATCAGCCAGGGAAAACCCTATGGAGCACAGTCTACTCTGACACACATGAGGTCACCACGAGTCAGGATCAACTCAAAAGCAACTGGTTTACTGATACCAAAACCAGTGTCTGCGGCTTTTTCAAGTCACACATGCCCCCTCCTCACCCAATCCCCTGATACTCTAATACACCCTCCATGGGGGCCTGCTCTGCTTCCCTGTTCCTCCACCCATTAAAAGATTTCTTACGTGAGCATGTTATGCTCCTCAGTCTGTTGGGGTTGGGGCAGGGGTGGAAGGGATAAGAACAAAGAACTACTGGCTTCAATGGACTCAGGAACAGCTGTCCCTACTCTGACCCCAAGATGTAGATCTGCTCTGTCCCAGCTTCAGAAGGCAAGCTCTGTCTTGGCCTAACCTTGGGTGATCTAAAAGAGACCTGGGTCACCCCCAGATGAGAGGACCCTGCCACTTTGGCTGTAGAGTTAACCTGTGGGGCAAGGGCTCCTGGTTTGGATGGCTCAGGACCAATGTGATCCAGTCACTCCCCAGACAAGCCTGAGTTTCCAGGGCTTGGAATTAGACAAAGCCCTAGGAACAGAGAGGTCTTGGGCTGAGCAAAGGCTCATGTGTCAAGGACGATAGGCTAAAATCCAATGTGTATGCATGTGTGTGCATGTGTGTGTGTATATGTATGTGTGTGTGTGTGTGTGTGTGTGTGTGTGTTGGGGGAGCTGGGAGTAAGAAGAAGAACCTCCACAACTTAAATACCACCTTCACCCAACCTCAGACGGCATCCCCAAGTCCCTTAAAGTCTAAGTGATAATGCAGTATTGAAGTGCTGGGAGCAAGGAAAATGCAGGCGACCACATTGTCTGTGGCCCTTGCCTCCTACCAACACTATTCTTGGAAAACAATGAGCTTAGGCGCCCAGTAGGGGGAGATAGCAGCTTGACAGGAACCGGGAAGGGCTGAAAAATATCTCTCTCCCAAGTCTTCAAAGGCTCTGTCAGAATTAGTGTTCATTCCCCACATCCCCCCAAGCTTTGTCAGCTCGGACTTAAGTCTGAGGCCTGCTACCTGGTGGCTACCATAAGAATGAATGACACATCCAGCTGGGGGGCCTTGCCGTGTGCTCTCCACCACTTATTCACTCCTATGGTTAATGGAGATCATTCCAACAATAAGCATTACCCGAGACAAAATGATACCTAGGGTGGATTCCAGGAAACGGAGCCCACCTACCTCACCTCAGAGAAGATGTGCTCCCCCGTCGCATTCAACCAGGATGGGTTGAGGGCTCTCAGACCTCTCCACAGGATATTCAACGCACTGACAAAAAGTCCCCTACATCCATGGCCCGGGCAGCTCTTCCCCTTGCCCAGATGTGAGTCCAAGGAAACCCAGGCCTCCTCACATAGGCATAAAACTCAGACCCCCACTTGGCCATGAGGTAACGCTGCCACCACGGCCACTGCCATGCCCTCCTCTCCCTCCTGCTGAGCTCTCACTGAAAAACCACTAAGTTTGACTAATTTGAATAATTTGCCCTGACTAATTTTAGTAAAAGGAGATTATTAATTGATGGATTACAATATTAAAATAGGACTTTGATATTAAATGAGGACTGCTATAAAGGCACCAGTGGCGTGGGTTAGATCCATTAAGTTAGAGCTGGAAAAGAGGCCAAACATAACCTTAAAAGGAGAGGAAAGGGTTTCCAGCCCACACTTCAGCATGAGGCTTCCTGACCTGGGAGGGAAGATCAAATAACACCAGCCCAGCCATAAACACCCAGAGAATCCCAAAGCATTAAGAAATTCATGGAGATAGAAAGATAAAGCCACAGTACAAGGAATGACTAAGAGCTGGATAAAGCTAGTCAGGTACAGAGCCTAAGACAGTGTAGCAATACCCAACTGAATTTTGTAGCAAGTCACTTAAGCCTCATGTCTAAAATGAAGAGAATCATCTCTGCCTACTGTTTTTCTATTTGGAACACCAGAAGGATAAAAAGATAATGTTTGTGATGGACTTCAGATACACCTAATAGTGATGAAGACTTCAGAAAACACGGCAGAAATATTTGTCACTACTGTTCATTAACTCATGACATCTTGAGTAAGAAGGGCTCAAGCTGAGACCATGGTGCTGGGTCACGATCACCCCAAGAAAAATTACAAAGTGGGGAAAAAAACTGTTACCTCTTGGAGGAGGTAGTCCTCACTCTTCCCCCAATCCCATACACAGACTCTAAACTGACCCATTCTCCAAAATCTTTTTGCCTTCTAACTGCCCTTGTTTGTCCCCCTACCCCATCAATACTTCCAGCTCACAGCTGATTTCAGCTACATAGGTGCTAGAAAAAAAGGAATCTGATTAAATAACTCACACTCTATGGTGTGAATGACTCTCCCTACAAGGATTTATGAGGTTGTAAGCTTTGGGAGTCCCTGGGTCAGTGCAAATGGTTAATGCTCTTGGCTGCCAGCCAAAATGTTGGAGGTTTGACTCCACCAAAGGTGCCTCAGAAGAAAGGCCTGATGCTCTACTTCTGAAAAACAGGCCACTGAAAACCCAGAGTCGACTCAACGGTAACAGATTTTTTTAAGCTCTTGCTTATTAACCAAAATGAATTTATGGTTATTGTATTTCAGTAAGTCTGATTAGGGGACAAATTGTGGGAAGTGCAGGAGATATTTTGAAGCAGGAGTGCTTTCTTGGGTCTCTTAAAACTACATTCATAGGATTTACAATGCCCACATGTGAAGCCCACTCTGGATGGACCCCTGAGCCCATGCTCTAGGTCAAAAAACAATGTCAAGTCTCTCCAGTCTTCTTATTGGGCCATTGAAAAAACTGGGCACCAAAAGGACCACAGACATGAACACACTTCCTTCCCAGCCACCACGAGGAATCCTGAAACCAGCAGAACTGCGTACCACTAGGTTCCAGAGGGGAAATGAGTGTCTCCCAGACAGCCATACTACACTTTCCCCAAAGGCCTAAGTATTTGAGTATCTAGTGGCCTGGTCTCCCAGACGGAGGCAGACAGTAGAGATGAAGTAGTCTTGGTCTAGGATAAGAAGACCAGAGTTCCCACTAAATAATTATGCATTCTTGAGCTGGTTCTGTTTCCTGTCTTTCCTCAGTCTCCTCACATGTGATGTAATGGGTTCAAAGAGTGGACCCCAAAGGTTCCTTCTAAGTTCTAGCTCTGCACTCTATGATGCTCCTGGAAAGAAAGACAACCCTGGGCCTCCACACCACATTCAAGTGAAACCCATGTGAAACTGTTCACTACGTGCTTACCTTGCTTATTGGATAATCGGCCCCTGACTATGAATGGAATCTGGAGGCACGGATGGTGCAGTGCGTTGTGCTTTGCTGCCACCTAGTGGAAGCCGGTAATATTCTAACTTAAAGGAGTGGCACTTCAGGCAAGAAGTTCACTCAAGACTTAGAACTAATATTAAAAAGACTTGAGACATCTTCTAGTCCAACCCCCTCATTTTAATGATCCAGTGGGTCTCTGAATGTGAACACTGGCGTTTGCAAAGTTGCTCCCAGTGTATGCTGACGAACTTCCTATAGCTTCTCTGTTCGTAAATGTCTCCTGGTTTTCCCCCGTGAACTTATTAGAATTAAAAAGAAAAAATTTTTAACCCATTGCCATTGAGTCGATTCTGACTCGTAGCAACCCTATAGTACACAGTAGAACTGCCCCATAGGGTTTCCAAGGAGAAAAGTGGTTACTAAAAACAAAAAAACAAAAACTTGTTGAGATCAAGTTGATTCTGACTCATAGCAACCCCATGTGTTACAGAGTATAACTAATCTAGATGGTTTTCTTAGCTATAATTTTAATGGAAGCATTTCACCACGTCTTCTTTCCGTGGCTCCTCTGCTTGGTGGGTTTGAACCACCAACCTTTAGGTGAGTAGTCAAGCACAAACTGTGCCACCAAAGACCTACAGCTACTAAATCTCCACTTACTAAGCACCTTCCATGTGCCGCCTCTGTCATCTTCAGTCTTCACAACAACCCTTCTGATCCAGTTTTACAGGTGAGAAAATGAAAACACAATGGTTTTCGGTTTTTAGGTAAACCTCAGGAGCCAGGATTCAAACCTAGAAGTATGTGGCACCAATTCCATGCCTCGTCCACACAGCGTCTCAACCAGCCGTTTATCATGCTACTGACCACTTTTAAAAAGCAGCCCTGTTCTCCCCATCCCATGCAGGGAGGCCCTTGCAGCTGTGGCAGAAGCAGACAGGGTCTGCGACTTGTGGAATGGACCAGAAACCTCTGCTCTGAGCAGGTGCCAGGCCTGGGGCAAATCACAAACAGGTGCTGCTGAGCTTAAAATGAACATTTGAGAGTTGCCTTGAAGGAAGTAGAGGCAATCTTAAACCTAGAGAAGTGCTGCTCAAAGCGTGGGCCATGAATCCAGGCTAGTCCATGATGACAGAATATAAAATCTGAGATTGTTTGAGAATTGTGATGGCAATCTGACAGAGTAATACCATATCTGTTGTATCTAATAACAAAAATCAGGGGGGACTAATATTTTGCATATCATTGCTTTCTGTTTCATTTTTCTGACAATTCATTCTACTGTATTTACAAAAGCACTGGCCCACAATAGATTGGAAACAAGAAAATCTGTCCTTCACCAGCCTATCATGTGGACAGGAGGAGGCGCTGACTGGTGAAGCCTGAGTCTCAGCTTTGGTTCTAATGATTAAAGCACAGCGATTTCTTTTGATTCTATAGCACTTCCTGATTTTAAAAGTGCTTTCACATTAATCTCCTTTGTGCCGACAGCCAACGTGGACTGAAGGCAGAACAGGAATGATGCATCCATGTTACAGATGAGGTGACCGAGGTTTGGAGAAAGAATGAATGATTGTGCAAGGTTGCATAGCCAGAAAGTCGGGAAACCTAGACTGACAGCTGAGCCCTCCAACTCTGACTCCTACTTGGGGGCTCTTTTTGCTCTCAGCAGAGCTGTCCCCAGGAAAGAGCTATTTCCCTCCCCTTTATAATCCTCAGTATGAAGAATTCCTGACACCTTCCCCCCACGCCCTCGGTGACAGGCCACAGCCTTACTGTCTTACCCATGGGACAAACGGAACCAAGAAAAACCACTGGGTATAATGTCTGCACCATCAGATGGGCCCAAAGACGGTGCTTCCAGCCCCATTTTCTTTGCATTGTAGCCGAGAACACGTGTCCTGCACTGCAACCAGAATACTGCATGCACTTAATAAATCATACGGCCTTTTCTGTGCTGCCAAATCTGGCCTCAACAATTTGCACATTAGTTGGCATCACAATGAAGCAGTTGTGAAGATAACGCAATCTCATATAATACCAGCTTTTGAGTTTATTCTAATTCCCTGCTGTTGAGGTGAACATCACCTTGTTCTGTCACAGGTATCCAAATACTGTCTTAAGAATGCAGCCGGAGGCCTTCAGGAATGCCAAATGAGCAACTCACGGCAGGGCTACATCTGGACTTGAGGGCTAGCTCTCCTCTTGGGATGTGGGACAATAATGCAATTATTGCAGTTAGTAATATTTATGTCTTTGTTTTTTCCTTCATTAAAAGAAAAATTCACTTAAAAGGGTCCCTGATGCTGACATAATCTCCTGAGTGAATGTCTCTTTCCTTGCCTAAGTCTTCTCTGCTGTCAGGAGACTTTCTCCTCTAGATATGGTGAAGGGACAGTGAGCCATGTCCCCCAAAATCTGTGAGACACTCAAAATAAGAGGCCTGGGGATAAAAAGAACAATAAGGAAGCTTCTCCCTCCCCTCACCGATTTCTTGTCCCTGCCCAGGTCTGAGTTCCCCTCCTTAGAGACCCTCCTTGAATATCCACCTTCTGCTAAGGTACCAAGCAAGGCCTTCAGGTTTAGGGGTGCTAGCTGGCCGATCTCTAGTTCCCCTATTACCAAAAACATTTCCAGAATCCTCAAAGGCCACAGCAGAGGGGAACACTCAGGGGAGAATTAATACAAGCTAGTTTCTCTGTTTTAGAAGAGAAAGGGTTGGAGGGAAAGTAGGTAGACCATCCACCCTGCACAAACCCCAATCCCAGCCCTCCTAAGGGACACTGGTGATGAGCGGAAGTTCTCTCTACAGAACATGCGCAGTTCCCAAGACCCGGGCCACTGCCCCTGAAGTCGAGGCCTGGGCATCATTAATGCCCTTCCACAGCCATGTGAGAGCCATCCTGGCCTCTCCCATCCTGGCCTCTACCACCCCCACCCCAACCCCTCACCACTCACTTTGAGATGGGGAATTGGAGTCAGGGGAAGCAAGAAGACAGGAAGCATTTGAAAGGGAAAAATCCAGAAGTTGCATCCTTCTGGGTGACAAGAATAACGTTTAATATAAAACCAGCCTAAGATTAGACTTTGGAGAAAGGTAAGGAGACTGTGCATGCTCGGACCCTCATCCCAGCAGCAGCTGTGGAGGATGCATGAAGAAGTCAGGTGGATGCAAACCAGCATGGCCGTGGGCTGTACATAGCGCCGAGGAATGGAACTGCTGGCCACAGTCTGTGAGAGAGCAGCCCCCCAGCCCCAGAACCATGGAATGCTCACAGCTGCCCAGGACCTCACAACTCACTTTACAGATGAGAACAACAAGGCTTAGTGTCGAGAAGGGACCTGTTGGGCCTGTGGCTTGTTAGTAGTGTGGCTGGGACATCATTGTCTTCTCTTGAAATAGAAAGTTATAAGCATATGGCAGCCCTTGGGAAAATTCTAGTGGAAACGCCTGTTCTTACTTGTAATTATTTTCTGGAAATACTTTCATGGCTTCTTCTGGCACCCCTGTGAGCTAAGTGCTTACATACTTGTCAGATCTCATCAGGATCAACTTCGGACATTTTCCTGCCAGCTCCCTTCCTGACTTTGGCAGCTGACCGGGCCACAGAGGACTCTCTCCGATCCCTTCCCTCTTCACCACTGCCGCCCCGATTGCTTTTTTTAGCTTGTTTCTTCCTCCCTCTGGCTCCACAGCCCACCTCACTCATACCAGCCTGCAGGAAAATGGAAGGGAAGGCTGCCAACCTTTGCGGCTGTGGGGTGGCTACCATCTTACCATGCCGTGGGGGCAGAGGCAGCCGGAGACGCAGCCTGTGCTCATGCACTCCAGGTCATAGTTCTGGCAGGTTTTGGCACACTCAAGCCCTTCAGCCCGTGGGTTGTCAGCGGGACACACCAACTTGACCATGGGGGGCCGGCAGGATAGGCTCCTTTTGCCTTGGAGGTAGGAAAACCAAAGAGATGATGAGTGAAGGAGTGAATGGATCTACCTTCGACACTGTCCTTTGGTCCCCTTGGTGCAGTCACTTGGTGCAGAGACTCTAAGCTGCCCACCCCCTGGTATTAGGTGCTGCCCAAGCTTTGGTCAGGTCTAGCCCGGAGCCGTGTCCCTCGAGTGGGATGGGGATGGCAGCCTCTTCTACTCTTCTGAGCCTCTGACCTTTGGTCTATACTGATGGTGGCCTTCCCGATCCCAGCCCATTTGTCTGATGGCCCCACTTCTCATCCCCTTTGATCCTTCCGTAGCAGGATACACTGCAGAAATTTTCAGACCTGTGCTAAAAAGGATCCTCAGCAGGACCCAATGAAACCATTCCTAAAATGGATACAACTAATCTCACACAACATGAGAAAGAGAACGTTATTCGGCCACAAAGACTTTAAGGAGTCTTTGCTCAAATTTCATCCTCTCTGGGAGGCCATCCACAGCCACTCTATTTAAAATTGCAACATCCCATCCACTATCTGACACTCTATTTACCCTCTCTCTTTGTTTTTCTCTGGACACATATCACCATCTGACATACTATATGTTTTACTTATTCATTTGTTGATTATCCATCTCTCTCCTCCCCACCAGAATATATGCTCCATGAAAACAGGGATTTTTGTCTACTTTGCTCATTGATTGATCACATTTCCTGACAGTTAGTACGTATCAACAGTGGACTGAATAAATGATGATGGAGAAGACTGAGACAGCACCCTTCTTTCAAAACCCTGGAGTGCTTAGCATCATTTAGATCACTTACTACCTCCTGTGGGCAAGGAAGCCAGAATTTCTAAACTTACAAAAGTTAGGGAGCTGGAACTCCAAAATGCTAAGTGGTTTTTCCAAATCTTCACAGAATTCTAGAAGCTTCCTCATTTTGAAAAAGATAATATCTTCCAAGGACTAGACTGGAAGACTTTCAGTAAGACAGGCAGAAAGCATTAAAGACAGGTCTATACAGGGAGTGCAAGGAAGAGGTTGCAACAAGAGAGAAAGCAAGAGGCAGAAGAATTTGGTGATCATGCGGTCACAAGTCCTGATTTCAACTTGTCAGCCACCCCATGCTTGGGATCTTGCCCCAAGCATAGGCTGAGAGATGCTCCCCAACAGTCATCCAGGAAAGCAAACCTCTCACCCAGGCCAACTTGGGAAACAAGCAGCATGGCACAGAGAGCTGGTCACTTGGAGAGAAGGTGTGTTATGGAAAGTGAGAAGCAGAGAGAGATGAGGTCAAGCTGGTAGCTGAAAATAGCCCAACTATCTGCCTAACAGAACCACTCTCCCTCTTTGCGGAAGAGTCCTCTCTAAGCAAGGAACATCCTTCTGGAAGCAAATAAGGCCCCCATGATCCATAAACATGAATACAGTCCTACCAGCACCGGGTCAGCCTCTCCGTTCTCCCTTCTGTGCCTTGTCCTTAACCAGTATAGCAACCATTAGGACCCTCAAGCTAAAAACAACTGGCACAAACCCTCCTCTTCCAAATCCATTTGAAAAGCTTTCTAAAGAGCTATCCTCATCAGCATGTCCATAGGAAAAAAGATCCAGGCCATCGAAGGAGGGTGATTTCTATCATAATCAAGGCAACTCAGAGTTGTTCAATGGGTTAGGTCACCATGGGCAAAAGAGAGGTCTCACTGAGTCAGTCTTGTAGATAATTCAATCTTTCCCCTTCCCCAAAATAAAATACTTCTTGTTCAATAGTTTGAATTTACAAGTGCAAAGACATGCCTAGGCCTGAACGTCACTCACACACAAACAGAAACTGAGACAAACCTAGACAAAGCCAGACTCACACCTGAATGCTCATGCACACAGACAGTGCAGCCCTGCTCTCCCCCTACTCTACGAGTTTGAAGTCTGAGCAGAGGGAGGCAAGGAGACCTGCCGGGGGTACAATACTCACTGCGGTGAGACAGGGGACTGCTGAGGACAACGTCTGGCAAGAGGCTTCCCGGCATTCCACTCATGGTACAGTGCATGAAGCCGTCTTCACAATAGCTGCAAAGAGGAAAATCTCAGCCCAACTTTGCAAGAGGTGTCTACATCCGCTGCCTCCATTTTCTCACCTCCCCCTCACTCTCCATCCTCTCTAATCGGACTCCAGGCCCCATAACTCCACTGAAACACATCTTGCCAAGGTCACCAATGACCTTCATGTCACTAAAACTAATGGAATTTTTTTCAGTTCTTTTCACTCTTGATCCCCTTCAATATTATTCATCACTGTTGACCACTTCATTCTTCTAGCTCTCCTGGTTTTCCTTCTACTTCCCTTGTTGCTCCTTCTCAGCTTCAACTGTAGTTCACCCCCCTCTACCTGGCCTTTAAATGTCAGCATCCCCTAGGTCCATCCTGTTTCCCTCTCTTCTTCTCACACCACACTGTCATCTACACCCCCCAGCTTCAATTATAGAAATGACTCACAAATTTACATTAGCAGCTCCGACCTCTCCTTTGAACCCCCAACCCATATAGTCAAAGGCTTACATGATAGCCACCTTTGGTGTCTCAAAGACATCTCAAACTTGGCATGTCCAAAACTGAACTCATGATCTCCCACACAATGTCAGTCTTCTTCCAGGGCTCGGATTCACTGAATAGTATCACCATCCATCCAGTTTCACAAACCAGAAACCCAGGAATCATTTCTGGCACTTCCTCTCCCTCACCCCCTATATATGATACATCACCAAGACCTGTGGACTTTCCTTCTCTAAATATCTCTGGAATTCCTATCCACATCTCTCTATCTGTGAGGGCCATGAACAATGCAAGATGGGTCCTGCCCATATAGGACTCTGGAAGAGAACCAAAGTACCTTATTGAGTAGTGACCTGGACCAAAAAAAAAAAAAAAAAAAAAAAACCCCAAACACCTGACTTAATGGTAACTTCAACTGAAATACATTAATAGTACAAAAACAACCCCATACAACATAGATTGAACATGTTTTTTTCTTCCCCAGCTCCCCTGCACGTATTCTTGCACATAAACACTAAGTACAGAAACAACACCCTGCATCGCCCTGCACGGACCTCTACCCAAGTGACTCTTGGCACTTCGCTGTCCATACCGAGAATCTTGGCATCAGCTTCTGTTTGTAAGTTCCCTAATAAAGCTAGATCTGATCTTGGCTTTTTCCACCTCTTTTTTCAGAATCCAACTTGTTCCCCTTGGAACCACTCCTGCCACTGGTCTGGTGGGGTGCAACACTATCTTCACTGCCATGAGTCGCCATCACCTCTCACCTGGACAACGCAAGAGTCTCCTAACAGATGTCCCTGCACACATTCTTGCCTCTCTCCAAAACACACTCACCTTGGTAGCCCAAGTATCTTTTCAAAATCTAAATTTGTTTATGTTACATCCCTGCTTGAGACCCTTCAGTAGCTTCCCTCCTAAAGGCCTTAGGAAAAAGATCAAGCCCCAAACATGGCCCACGAGGTCCCTAAGTGATCTAGCCCCTGCCTACCTTTTCCCCCTCTAACCCACTGGCCTTCTTCTAATCTTGAAGGTGCCATGCTCCCATCAAACACAAGGCCTTCTGCACGTACTGTTTCCTCTGATCTAATGTGACTTCCTCCCACCGTACACACGCATAACCTTCTTTGTTCCCCAACCCCATTTCTCAAGCTTTCATGGACAATGTAATTCTCTTCCTACAACTTATCACACTTGTAACCTTACATGTAGTTATTATTGTTAACATCTGTCTCTCCCACTGGACTACGCGATCCATGAGGTCAGAAATAATGACTCGTCTTGCTCACCATTATATCTCCAGCTTTGGACTTAGCATAAAGTACTCAATACACTGGGTTTTTATGGTTTGTTTGGTTTCTTTGTTTGTTTGTTTGTTTGTTTGTTTTATCCCCATCCTCCAATCCCAATCCCCTCCCCTAACATGGGCAACTATTTTTGTGGTAGCCAGCCTCCAAGATGGCCCTCAGTGATCCCTATCTCCTGGTATTCACACCCGTGTATAGTCTCCTTCCACACTGCATCAGGGTCTGTCTGTGTGACCAATAGAATAGGGCAGAAGAGATGCTATATCACTTCTAATGTTAGTTATAAAAGACTGTGGCTTCCATCCTGGTGCCCTCTCTTGGATCACTCACTCTGGGAGAAGTCATATTATGAGCCACCCTATGGAAAAGCCCACATGGCAAGGAACTGAAACCTCCTGCCAACAGCCACGTGAGTAAGCTTGGAGTGGATCCTCCAACCCCAGTCAAGTCTTCAGGGACTACAGCCCTGGCCAACAGTTTGACTGCAACCTTCTGAGACCGAGTCAAAACCACCCAACTAAACTGCTCCTGGATTCCTGACCTTCAGAAACTATACGAGATAATACATGTTTGTTGCTTTAAGCTGTTAAGATTGTGTATTATTCATTATGCAATAATAGATACCTAATGTGATTTTATTCTGTTTAATGTATATCTGATTGTTTGAATATATTTTTATAAAATGTGTAGTTGTTTTATGTGCAAGTATGTTTAATTTATGAGGCATTGGTGGTTCAGTGGTAGAATTCTCACCTTTCATTCAGGAGACCCAGGTTTGATTTTCAGCCAATACACTTCATATGCAACCACCACCCGTCGTCAGTGGAGGCTTGTGTGTTGCTATGATGCTGAACAGATTCAGCGGAGCTTCCAGACTAAGACAGACTAGGAAGAAAGGCCTGGTGACCTACTTTCTAAAATCAACCAATGAAAACCCTATGGATCACAACAGTCTGATCTGCAACTGATCATGGGGATGGCACAGGACCAGGCAGAGTTTCATTCCATTGTGCTTGGGGTGGCCATGAGTCAGAGGCCATCTCAACAACAGCTAACAATAATCAAAAACCACCAACCCTGTTGCTGTTGAGCCGATTCCAGCTCTAGTGACCCCAAAGGACACAGAAAAACTTACCCATAGGGTTTCCAAGGCTGAAATCTTTATGGAAGCAGACTGCCACACCTTTCTCCCTCAGAGCGACCGGCGGGTTTAAATCACCGACCTTTCAATTAGCAGCCGAGCTCTTAACCATTGAGCCACCAGGACTCCTTCTAACAACAACGTTTAACTTATATAAATGGTATTATCTTAAATATCTCCCTGTGTCTTGCTTTTTTCATTGAGATTTTAAGTTTCATCCATGTGAATACATGTACTTGTCTGTTGCTAATGGTTGCACAATACTCTACAGTGGGCACCCACCACATGTTACCTATTTGCTCTCCCAGTGATGGGCACAGGCAGTCCTCTATCCTTGCCACCACAAGCAAGGCTGTGATGAACATTCTCATACAGGAACCCTAAGGTGTGAGAAATTCCTTAGTATATATACGAGGAGCAGAACTATAGGGCCATCAGGCGTGGATACATGTACATTCTGAATGTGTTGCTGCTGCTGTTGTTATCAGGTGCTGACATGTCAATTTCTATTCACAGTGACCCACATGACAGAGCAGAACTAACTGCCCCATAGGGTTTTCTTGGCTGTAATCTTTATGGAAGCAGATCACCAGGTCTTTCTCCCGCAGAGCCACTGGGCGGGTTTGAACTACCAACCTTTCGGTTAGCAGCTGAGTGCTTAACCATTGCACCACCAAGGCTCCTTTCATCATACATATATGTTACGTATATCTGCACATGCAGTGCTAGTTGTTCCCCAGGGTGGCTGGACCAGTCTGTGCCCAACGGTAGCACCAGTAGCATTATCCAGATTTCTAAGTTTTCCAGCCTATTAGATATAATATCTTCTTGTTGTTATAAGTTGCACTTCTCTGATTATAATAATTTTGAACATTTTTTATGTCTGCTGCTCAGTAAATATTTGTTGAACGAACAAAAGAATCAGCTCATCCCTCTTTGGGCAAGTGCAGAACCTGTGCATTTTGGTTTTTAACTAAGACCTGGTTTAAAAAAAAAAATCCTCCCCCAAATGTCATGTTCTATCTGTCATTTGGACAGACATGACCCAAAAGCTTAATTTTATAAGAAGCCTTGCAGATACTTTAAAAATCAACTCCTGGCCCAGGACCTGGCCAGTAGTAGACAAAGTCCTCTGCTGTGTGATGGCTGTTTGGATGACCGAATGAGTGGTCTGAAAAGCCTCCAGGCCACGTGCTACCACCTTACCACCTTAGGTGTCACAAAAGGTGGTTACTCTTGGTTACTAACCAAAAGTTTGGCAGTTCAAATCCACCCAGGAGCACCACAGAAGAAAGGCCTGGTGATCTACTTCCATAAGATCACAGCCATTGAAAACCCAGAGTAAAATACAGTTCTACTCTGACACATATGAGTCGGAATCAACTTGACGGCAACAAGTTACTGCCTTTTCATGGGCATCATCAGCATTTGCCCCAGTGGGGCTCATTCTTTGGTGACTTATTTAAAGAATTAAAAATAAAGACAAGCCCTGAGTTCCCTCTGGTATACGTTGTCCAGGAAATCTTATCTTCTAAATGATGGGGAGAGACGGGATGGTCAATCATTTTCAGCCCTGGTACAGGAAGCGGAGACAGGGGAAGAGGACATAATCATGTGAATGAAAAGAGCCTGAGGCCACAGCCATCACCCCAGTCCCGCCCACCCAGAAGCTGCTGTCCCCCATCTCCCATCTTCCCTGTGCCACTGATACGGTAAAATAACCAGTGACACTTGCTGCCCTCCCAGTCATCCTAGCTTCCTACAGTCTGCCTTCTTTCCTCACCACAATGCTGAAACTTGGGGGCCATCATGACCTTCTGATCCCTAAATTCAACAGCCTGTTCTCAATGAAAAGAACACTGGTTCAAGAGTCTCTGGGTTCCAGTCACTTGCTGGATGACTTTGGGAAAGTGATAATCTCTCTAAGCCTCAAATTCCTTGCTAAAAATGCAGGCCCTGACTGCCTAACAGTGTTGTTTTAGGATTCCAGAGAGAAACGCTTCGAAAAACATAGCCAGACAACTGTAATAAAACAACCACTGGGTGAAGATCAAAAGATTAAACCAACAAAAGATGTGACTGTACCTTTCTTGCCTTAACTTCCATTATGACACTGTCCTAGTTCTGCCCTTTTCACTGGCCTTTTCTTTTGGCCTCTCTCACAAGATCCTCCTTCTCCTCCTTTTACCCTCTGAACATTCCCAAAAGTTCTGGACTCAGTCTTCTTTTCTGCTCTTCATTTCACTCCCCTTAGCAAACCTAGCTACTCCCCTGGCTATAACTGTTATCTCCATACAAACTTTACACCCCAATCTCTCACTCAAGTTTCAAACCTGTAATTCAAGCTATTGGTTCCATTCATTCACCAAGATGCCCTCTTGGTAACTCAAAGTCATTAAGGCCAAAACCAAATTCTGTATCGTCCCTCTTCAAAACCTGTTCTGCCTCCAGAGAGCCTTCTTGCTGCTCTTGACATCACTGCCTTCCTAGGCATTCAAGTTCAAGATCAAGATAAAGATGAAAAGCGATCTTCAATAATACCTCTTCCTCCCAAACATCCCAGGAGTCTGTTTACTTCCCCAGTGTCTCTAGCTTCTTTGCCCCACTCTCCATTGCCATTACTATTACTTGGTCCAGGGCCCTCCTACCTTTTGACCAGTCTGGTTCAACATCTTCCTGACTGGTCTCCCTGCCTCCACACTGCGTTCAGAGTCCCGAGTCCACTCTCTAAAGCTACACTTTGATCCTGTTTGCTTCCTGCCCAAAACTTTCCATGGACTCCCACCACCTACTGTTCAAGCATCAGTCCCCACCTTACCTTTCAAAGACCCCCTGAACCTGGTCCCAGCTTCCCTCCAGTCTTATCTTTCCTTCATACAACATATGTTCCCACCAGAGGACTTATGTTGCTGAGTGCTGAGCACTCCTTGTGCGTTTTAGTCTCTGGGCCTCTGTTCCTCCTTCCATCATCCCACCCACCTCTGCTGTTGGAATCCTCCCCGAGCTTAGAAGCTACCCTTCCATGGGAATTCTTTCCCTAAGTCCTCCCAAATGGAAGCAATGCTCCCCCTTTCTGAATGAGCAGGGATTTTTATGATATGGTAAGTATCACAGATGTTATAGTTATTTCATCTCATAAACATTTATTGAGTTCCTACTTTGTACCAGACCTGTGTTAGGTGCTGGGGATCAGGACCTATGCTATAATCTCCACTCCTGGGGAGCTCACAGTCTAGAGAGGAGATACTGGACATACCAACACGGTTTACTGAAATTCAAGTCCATCAGAGATAATCATTTGAATAGGAACGTAAACCACCTGCTTCGGGTACGTGTGGTTGGAAGGCTAAGAATTAATCTCACTGGTGTGCTTAGAAAAAGCTTCATACCAAACGCAATGTGCAGACCTTGTTTGGATCTTGATTTGATCAAACCAACTATAAAAAGGCATTCTGAGACAATCAGGAGAAAAGGAACATGTATTGAATATTAGATGCTATTTAAAAATTATTGTTAATTTTTAGGGTAATAATAGTTTTATGGCTATATTATAAAGTGTTTATCAGTTACAAATGCATACTGAAGTGTTTACAGGTGAAAGATATAATATCTGAGGTTTTCTCCAAACTATCCCAGCCAAAAACAGGAGGAAGGAGTAGACAAAATAAGAATGGCAAAGTGCCGGTAATCATTGAAGCTGGTGATGGGAACATTAGGGTGCCTTATACTACTCTCTCTACTTTTATGTACTTTTAAAATTCTCCATAATAAGGACATTTTAACTCATTTCCCCTAGTAGACTGTCAGGGGAGTGTGTCACCAATCCCTAGCCCAGAACCTGGAACAGAACAGGTGCCAGGTAAGTGATTGCCCAACAAATGTTCTGTTGCAAATTGCTTTTGTGACCATGACAGTCCTGCTGAAAATGAAACTGACCATCATAGAGGGCTTAAGCAACGAGCTTCAAGAATCAACTATGATTTGGAACTATTTTGCATGCCTGACGTACACGAAGTAAGTCAGGGTGGTAATGCATCATTGAACCAATGCTGCTATGGCATATTTCCACCTGGCTCAAAGTGCTTCAGCCTCTGAACGCAGACAGGAATCTGAAGAGCTATGGAGGCCAGATCTTCCATTTCCTGTTCTAGAATAAGGAAACTGAGTCCTAGACCAAGGAAATGGGGCCCAACACATGCTAGTAGCAATGAAGTTCAAGAATCTCTACTGCCAGCCTGAAGTTCTAATTCCCCGCACAGCAAGGAAGTCAGAAGACATGAGCAAAAGCCCAGCTCTGCTCCTCTGGACAAGTCATTTCCTTTGTTGGGTCTCAGTGTACCCACCCATAAAATGAAGGATTTAAAAGACCATTTTCCTTTCTAGCTCTGCCATCCCAGAGGTCTCTGGCCCTGCTGCTGGCACTTACCACATGGTGTGATGGTCTGAGAAGACATCTTCGGGCTGGAAGATCTCGCCATCATAGTAGCAGGGGCACTGGGCCTTGGGCACACAGTCCCCCCTGTCATCCAGGTAGAGTCCTGGGGGGCAGAAGCAGCCCTCAATGCAGACCTCATTGCATTCTTCATCCGGGTAAGAGAGGGAGCGGCAGGTCAGGTTGCAGGGGATCCCACACTGCAGGTACACCTGGCCCTGGGGGCAGCTCAGCGCTGGGAGAGATGGAAAGAGAAGGACAGTTTCAGTAGGGGCATTGAGAAGACAAGGGCTGTGGGCCTCAGGACTTGGGGTGCCACCTTTTGCAGATGTGACCCCCCAATCACATCTGTATGGTCACTGCCTTCCTTTCCCACTATGAACAGAAGTATATTTTGTATATCATAATTATGATGCACACATTTTCTCTCTCCTTAACCACAGGGACCATGCTTGAGTCACCTCTGAATTCTCAAAGCCTGGGATGTAGTAGAAATTCTGGAGGATTTTGAAGCTGTGAATAATAAAAACAACTGGAAGTAATAGGCAACAGGCATCTCCCATGACAATGATAACAATGATGGCTACTATTTACTAAGCACCTACTGAATGCCCTGTTCTTCACATGGGTTTTATGCCTTTTACACCTCCCTCAGGAGCCCTGGTAGTGCAGTGGTTGAAGTGCTCAGCTGCTAACCAAAAGGTCAGCGGTTCAAACCTACCTCAGGAGAAAGATGTGACAGTCTGTTTCCGTAAAGATTTACAGGCTTGGAAACCCTACGCGGCAGTTCTACTCTGTCCTGTAGGGTTGCTATGAGTCGGAATCAACTCAAAGGCAGTGGCTTTGGTTTTGGTTTCAGTGAATTAGATTTTATCGCTCCTTTTCTACGAATAAGAAAACTGAAAGTTACACTAAGTGATTTGTCAGGGTCATACCTCCCAGGAAGAAGCAGAGGCAGAATTTGAACCCAGATCTCTGTGACCCTAAAGCTTACGCTCTTAACTATCATGCTCTAAAAAGGAAGCGGTCACTTAGGAGCCACACTTTTGAGGACACACGGGTCACAAAGGACACAGACATTCTTACCTCAGCAAAGGGGGCCACACCCATCAACCCACAGCCCCGCTCACCCTGGACTCCCACATAGAAACTCTACAGACAGAAGACAGGAGGAAGTGTGACGACGTGGCAAATCAGCTACAGGAATGGGCTCTGGATCCCACTACCTGAGTGCAAGTCCCAGTTCCTCCGTTAGCTCACTACGTGATCCGGATCAGGGTGGCTCCGTTTCCTTATTGGACTATAATAATAGTATCCACCTCCTAGGATGTTTTGAGGACTAAATAAAGTAACATGTTTAGAGTAATGCCCAGCATGTGATAAACGTTCACTGCTATTATTATCATTATTATTACATTATCATTATTAATAATTATCAATATTCATTATCATTATTATTACCCAACCCCAGGTCAGCAGGCTCCAGATGGGAGGGGATAGTTCAGAGAAAAGTCTAGACCTAAGAAGACCTAATACTTCTCGATTCTTGCCAACACATAGCCCACTTTCTGGGCTAACAGTAGTCTTGTAAACACTCCTGATGAAATTCTTCACTGGGAGAGTAGGGGAGGTGAGGGGAGCACTTTACTCTTTCAAAATGCTTTCCCGTTGCTGATCAGCTATTGTCCAAGAAATCAGAACCTTGCTCTGGACATACTCCTCCTGAGACCATTAGAATCCTTCCCCTTTGTGTCATAAACCATTCCTACAGCAGAAACTCCCTGGCAGAACATTTCATAGTAGCCATGAAGGGAAGCCTTGGCCACAAGCCTCAAAAACGGGGGCAGGGAGACTTCTGGAGAGACCTTGCAATCTCTCCCTCCTACATCTGCCTTGGGCTTGGTGTTTGAGGGTAGCTAGAATCGATTGTTGAAGTTAGTAGGGTATCTGAATCGATTCCAACTCATGGCAATCCCACGCATGTCAGAGTAGAACTGTGCTCCAAAGGGTTTTCAATGGCTGGTTTCTCAGAAGTAGATCTCTGGGTAGATTTGAGCAGCCAACTTTCCAGTTAGCAGCTGAGTGCTTAGCCATTTGCATCACCCAGGGATACCTCTGAGCTAATCAGACAGCGATTTTCTATGAACCAGTGGGGAGGTTGGGTCACTGGATGAATATTTAGAGGGTGGGCAGGTTGAATTGGGGAGTGGTGGGCAACAAAGATGGAGATCCCTCCCAATCCAGTAAACCCATGATGATAAGGGCACATTTTACCCATAAAAGATCAGTGAAAGCTGAAAGCTCTTTTTTCTCTAACAGACTGTCTCTAGAGCTGGCTTGGAGCCTTATTAAATTTCTCCTTCAGCTTCTTCCCCAGAAGAAATCATGAACATCTCAGTCTAACAGACATTTATTGTGGATCCAGTGTGGGCAGGGGCTGTGCTAGGCTTGGGATGCAGTCAGTGATGGTGAGACTTGGTCCCTGCCTTCAAGGAGTCCAGGTCGTGTCTTCCTAAAGGAAACATAACCAATTTACAAGAAAATCAAGCAAAATCTCCTCACAGCATCCCACAAGTATCTGTACGATAAACCCTTGCTCCATGAGTGTTCCCAATTGGTGCGACATCTTCTCATAGCTCCTATAGAAGTCGGTGGTTTAGAGAGCTCTGTTCATTCCTCAGGGAGCAAAAATGAGGTCAAAGAGACAGCTAAGCCTGAGCCCCTCTCTGAGTTGAGAAAGAATAGAGGCAAGAATCCAGAAGTCCTGCCCACCCTCCTTGGGTTCACTAAAGCAGCCCAAGGCCATCTGGCCAGCCTTGTCTCTGGTTCCCCTCCACATAAACCCAAGGAGACAGATGCCTGCTTGTCCTTAAAAATCTCCAGGGAAAGGTCCTTCCCACTGCCCAGCACTTTCTGCCCTATCATAAAGCCTCAGGAGACAGGAAATTCTTTAATTTGATCTCAGACCCTGCTACTGCAACAACAGTCATTTCCTCTTTTTCTGCTCTCTGTGGAGTTTGAAAACAGCTGGTCGAAAGAGATTAAAGATTATTTCGATAGGCCGTTAGTATTCTGGGAGAATGTCCTAAATTGGGAAATCTTTCTGATGCTGTAGCAAACTGATAATGCATAATTTCTAATACTGGTGGACAAACAAAGCACGTTCATAAACATCACATCATTTAATCCCCATTGGTTTTCCCAATTTCTAAACAGCAAACACTGATGAGAAAACTGAAGTTTGAAGGGGTCAAGTGAAGGGTTTAAGGTCATGTAGCTAATAAGTCACAAGCACGTTACTAGTAAGGACTCAGACTCAGTTCTTCCAGCTTTAGCCAGGACTCTCGGTGACACCCCAGAGCTGGAGGGAGAGGGAAGGCACAATGCAGACATTTATGTACTTGCTCCCTTCGTCCTTACTTTTTTCTCTGCTTCTCTTTTTTATGAGATTACTTAGACTCAAAACATGAGCTGGCTCATAAGACCCTAAATATTGACACCTCTAGAGCCCCCGAACCTAAACTTCTCTTCAGATATATATTAACTCCTTCCACCTTTCCTCACAGCTCCTATTTTCCAACATCCATTAGGACCACCTACATTTTAGTTTCCAAACACATCTACTGCCCCCCTAAAAATCAAAATATCCACTACGTCTTATCTATAACTTACTCTTCCCCACACCTGTGCCTCACCACTATTCTACCATTGGAAACAATGCCTTTCTGTCGAGAAGGCACTTTTTTAAAACCATGGTCAAGTACACCTCCTCCAGAAAGCCTCCCTTGGTTGTCCTAGCCCTAATTTAACCATCTTTTTAGTCAGTGTGATAAGCACCTAGTAGGGAGGCAGTTTCCATTTGTGCCTCAAAAAGGAAAGTTCCCCTCAGATACCCTACTAACTCAGAACTGAAGCCATTCCTGAAATCTACCTCTCAGCCAAAGATTAGACAGGCCTATAAAACAAATAATAACACACATGAGGAATGTTCTTCTTAGTTCAATCAAGTATACAAGACCCAGTGGGCAACACCTGCCCAAAAGCAAGATGTGAAGGCAGGAACGGACAGGAAAACTGGACAAATGGACAGAGAGAACCCAGGGTGGAAACGGAAAGGGGGAGGGCGCTGACACATCGTGGGGATTGCAACTAGTGTCACCAAACAATCTGTGTATAAGTTTTTGAATGAGAAACTAATCTGTGCAATAAACTTCCACCTAAAACAATAAAATTTTAAAAAATAATAAAGGAAAGTTCAAGCTTTACATCATGGCTCTTGCCTGACCACACTGGGCACTCAGCAAACATCTCCAGAGCAACAACAACAATCTAGCCATTCAAGGGACCAGAGTGTAGGGGCAGATACCGACTCTGGTGGCAGGAAACCAACAGTGCAGAGTGAGAATCTAAAGTCAACTGGGGACAATGACGATTTTCAACTTTATACCACATTATACAATGCCAGAGATTCTGGCTGGGAGTTCACAGATGGTTTTCCTCAAGTTACATGCAAGGATTCATATGTGCATTTCCCAGTGTCCTCATCAGACCCTCAAGGGATGCAGGGACCCCTTGGGATCTGGGAACAACTCACTGCACAACCTGATCGTACACATCTGGAACACTAGGTGGCCGCAGCCATAGGAAATCTCTGCTTAGCAGAGACCTCAAGGCTCTAGTTCTCCACGTAGTGGGTTTAGATTTGCCCTCCAGGAGCAGTCAGAGTAGCCAGACTGTCCTGTAACACAGCCAGTCCCCACCATCTTGTGCTGCTGGGGATTGGAAGGGAAACGTGGCGGAAAATGAACTGTTGGCACACCCCAGGCTCTGTCAAAATGCCCCGGGCCAGCTTCCAAATGAAACAATGCCAAGAAAGTGCTTTGAAAAGGACAAGTGGGCTAGACAGCAGGGCAGCAGCAGCTCGTCCGGCTCAGTGGCCTCGAGGGGGAGCACACAGGGAGGGTACCCACCACAGAAGCTGGGCTCCCGCCATGCGATGCTCACGCCTTTCTGGGCACAGGCGGAGGCGTAGCTGGCCACAGCGTTGCAGAGGCAGTCTCTGCCATCCGAGCAGGAGCAGACGTCATAGTGGCAATTTTGCAGGTACGGCTGGAGGCTAACAGCGTGGTGACAGGCCTCGAACTTGGAGGACGTCAGAACAGCACAGGCCTCTTCTGCAAACTTGGCTGTGTGGGAAGAGAAAGGAGCGAGCCTGGGATGGTCAAGTCCTACTGATGCCCATGCCCCAGAGAGTAGCAACAAGGGCTCCTGCTTTGAAACTCTCCACTCCAGTTTCTCCATCAGCAGCAGAGACTGCAAAAACTACTTCTGCTGGCTCCGGGAGTCATTGCGATTTTTCTTCCATAGCCAATTTACTTTCTTACTTATATTTGCCTTAAATAAATACTAAACTGCATCCCCAGAGCCCACACCCGCTGACAAAAGGGGAGACAGTCCAGTGATCCCTTGCTAAGAGAGGAAGCTAATGTAGGGCTGAAACGGTGCCGCAGATGAATCTGCAAACGGCCACCTCGGTCACTTCCCTGACAATAATTTCACTGTTTGTGTGCCTGCTGTTCCAATAGACTGAGAAAGCCCCGAGGCAGGAACCACATTCTGTTTTTCTTTCTCTCCCAGGGTTTGGCCCATAAACAGTGCTCAGTAAGGAAACTTTGAAGAACAAATGATCCAGATGCAGATAATCAAATGCTGATGATACAAACAAAGGTCCACCTAGTCCCCCAGCTCCACACCGCCCAAGCCACGGTGGGGACACTGTCCGTGGAATGTACTGGAATAGAGAAGACCTCAAGGCTCTGTGGAGCACCGTCTTTCCCAACAGGCTCACATACTTAGGCGCGGGTTGAGGTTACAGGGGTCGCTGTCCTGCTTCTGCAGGTCTTGGCAGTCCCCGTGCAGCTTCCAGGAGTTCCCGAAGTCCTCCACCAGGGGCTCCTCCAGGCCTGAAGGAGTGAGGAAGTCGTCCCCCTTGTTGCCATTGTAATTCCCGCACAGGCCACAGGTCTTCCCAGCGTAAACAGGGGACAACTGCAGAGAGAGGCCAGGCCACCTTACAGCAGCTGCTGCCAAAGCAGCAACAGTTTCATTTCAGTAATGAGATGGTTTTAACCAAAAAGCTCCCCTGGGTGCAGGATAAATATGAATTTAATAAACTGCAGCTATGCCATAGGCTGCAGGAGGAAAAATAAAGGTGACTGCAGTATAAACTTACCAGTTCCATCCCAGCTTGTAATCACTGGAAGTCAGAAAGCTGTCATGTGGGGAGGGATTTTAGAGATCGTCTAGTGATTAAAGATGGGAAAACCAACGCCCAGAAGGGGTAAGTGACTTGCCTGGTCACAGGCAGTGCAGAGCTGGGACGAATAACCATGCTGAACTCTCTGCCATCCACGCTTGTGAGTTGAGATGGTCTAAGGCAATGGGCCCTGCCACCAATGCGAGTCAAATTCAAACTAAACATCCCATTACTGAACACTTACATTGATCTCACGTGTGGGCAAAGCAGAGCTGAACTTGTTATGGCCCGAGCCCCCCTGGAGCTCACATAACTTTCTGTATTTAACTCAGCCATTGAGTGTCATTGAAGAGAAAAGGCCACAAGCTAAAGAGGCCTCTGGAGGTTGTGATGGGAGAAGGTGGGGTCAGTGAGGAGTCTGGGGCAGCCTGTCACAGGGCGATAAGGAGGAGTCCAGGGTTCAAAGTCCAGGCCATCAGCATGTGGTTCATTCTCCATTCATGGGGCCAGAGCGCTGAACCCAAAATGCACATTCAGGAATGATTTGGGAAGTCAAACCTACCTTTCACACAGTATAGCTGGCCCATCTGCTGGTGTTTACAAAGAAGGCCCTGGCTCAAAGAGGGAGCAGTGTCTGGGAACCAGGCTGTGGCATGCAACTGATGAGGCCATATGTAGAGGGTTGAAGTGTGTCCCCCAAAAAGATATGTACACATCCTAACCCCCAGGACCTCGGAATGTGACTTTATTCAGAAAAAAGGTCTTTGCAGATGTAATGAAAGTAAGAATCTCGAGATGAGCTCATTCTGGATCAAGTTAAGCCCTAAATTCAATGACTAGTGTCTTTTTAAGAGACAGAAAAGGAGAAGACACCAAGACACACAGAGAAGAAGGCAATGTGAAGGCAGAGATCAAAGTGATGAGTCTACAGACCAAGGGACATCAAGGGCTGCTATCTGCCACCAGAAGCTGAGAGAGGCTTAGAATGGATTCCCACTCAGAGATCCGGAAGGAACCAACCCTGCTGACACCCTGATTTCAGGCTTCTGGCCTCCAGAACTGTGAGAGAATAAATATCTGTTGTTTTAAGCCAAGAAGTATGTGGTAATTTGTTATGGCAGCCCTGTGTTCCAAAACCCTCAAGCCCAATATGCTCATCTCTTAGAGTTCCATGCAGTTTCCAGCTCTAACTTTAAGATGCAGGATGAATGATCCAGTGGAGGGTTGCTGGACCCATATAAAATGTTATTGTTGTAGCTGGATGCCATCGAATCGATTCCGACTCATAGAGACCCCATGGGACACAGTTAAACTGCCCCATAAAGTTTTCTTGGCTATAATCTTTCCAGAAGCAAATCACCAGGTCTTTCTCCTGCAGAGCCACTGCATGAGTTCAAACCATCAGCCTTTCAGTTAACAGCCAAGCACTTAACCATTGCATCACGGGCTACTATACAAAATGTACCCAAGGAAGTATCATTAATAATAAAGTGGACAGAGTGACGTTTCCTTCTTTACTTTATAAATACCAACTGTTGCCACGTTAGGCACCAAGGCCTTTCATGACCTCCTTATTTAAAATGAAATTCCTCCCTCCCACACCCTGGCATTTCCTGCTCCCTTCTCTGCTTTATTCATCTCCCTAGGATTTATCACTTTCTAATCTATAATAAGAAGGCCCTGGGTGGTGCAAATGGGTAATGTGCTCTTCTGCAAACTAAATGGCTGCTAACTGAGTCCGCCCAGGGGCACTTCAAAAGAAAAGACTGGCCTTCAATATTGTACTGGGAGTCTTAGCCAGAGCAATCAATAAGTCAAGAAAGGGAAATAAAGGGTATCCGAATTTGAAAGGAAGAAGTAAAACTATCCCCATTAACAGATGACATGATCCTATACATAGAAAATCCTAGTGTTTCCACAAGAAAGTTATTGGACTAATAGAAGGATTCAGCAAAACTGGTAGGGTACAAGATCAACAAACAAAAATCAGCTGGGTTCCTCTACACTAACAAGGAGAAAAGGAAATCAAGAAAATAATAGTATTTACAATAGCCCCAAAAAAGATAAAATATCTAGGAATAAATCTAACCAGTGATGTTGTCTTAGTTACCTAGTGCTGCTATAACAGAAATACCACAAATAGGTGGCTTTAATAAACAAAACTTTATTTTCTCACAGTTTAAGAGGCTAGAAGATCGAATTCAGGGTGCTGGCTTTAGAGGAAAGCTTTCTCTCTGTCAGCTCCTGAGGAAGGTCCTTATCTCTTTGAACTTCTGCTCCTGGGCAATCTTCATGTAGCTTGGCATCTCTCTTCCCCTGTCTCTACTTACTCGCTTGTTTAATCTCTTTTATATCTCAGAAGAGACTGACTCAAGACACAGCCTTCACCAATCCTGTCTCATTAACACAACAAGACAACCCATTCCCAAGTGGGATTATAACCACAGGCATAGAGGTTAGGATTTACAACACATATTTTTGGGGGACACAATTCAATCCATAACATTCCATACCTTGGCCTCCCAAAACTTTCATGTTCCCCCAAAAAAATTCATGTTCTTGCCACATGCAGAACACACTCACCCCATCACATCATCTCAAAAGTTTTAAATCAATTCCAAGTCCAAAATCTCATCTTCTGAATCATCTAAATCAAATATGGGTGAGACTTTAGGCGTACTCCACCCTGGGGCAAAATTCCTCTCCATCTGTGAACCTGTGAAATCTAGACTATAAGTTATCTGTACATCTGTACAATGGTGGAACAGGCACATACATTTCCATTACAAATGGGAGAAATTGGAGGGAAAGAAGGGATAATGGGTACCAAGCAAGTCCAAAACCCAGCAGAACAATTTACATTAGCTCTCAAAGCTTGAAAATAATCCTCTGTTCTCTGAAACCATCTGGGCAATGGCCTTGATCTCCAGACTCTGGGTATTGGCCATGCTCTCTGGATTCTGAGTGGAGGCCACTCAGCCCTGGACTTTAGCTCTGCCTTCCAGGCCCAATGGCATGGCAACTCTGCTCCCTCGACTTTGAGCGGCCCCATTCTCCTAGTCCATCTGAGTGGCAACCCCATTCCCTCGGCCCTGGAAGTCCCCATTCTTCTGCCCCTTGGGCATAGCAGCCCCACCCCCTCAGCTTTGGGCAGCGGCCCCATCCTCTTGGCCAAAATGAATGGCATTTCCACACTCCGGAACCGAGATGATGAAAATCTGGCTCTTTGAAACCTAGGAGGCCATAGATGTACCCATTGAGACCCCAGAGGCCATGGCCCTACCCTTTGAGACCTCAGAGGCTGTGGCCCCACCCTTCGAGACTGAGGCAGCTCTGCTTCCCATGCTCCTTTCAACAGTTCTGCTGTTCTCCGAGCTGCTTCAGGGATTGTTTATTCTTTTCTTGGAGGACAACAGATGTAGCTCCTTTGGCCTTGTTTCCTGCCTGTAGAATTCCAAGAGGCAGACGGCATTCTTTCCTTTCATTCTTTTCTCTGTCCCCTTCCATCTAAACTGATGGGTTTTCTGCTGTGGTAGTTGGTTAGATCCATCAGTCACAAGCTTAATCTTTTCAACAAAGTATTGTGTACCCACATCCTTGGTGAACATTCTAGAGCACATGTCCTTAGTCTGTAAGATAGAATTTTCCAAATCTTTAAATTTTGTTTTCACTTTGCACAGTTCATTTTTAAGTCCATCTCTTTCCTCTCGAATTTTACTATAAGTGGCAAACAGAAACCATGTGGCCCCTTTAAGATCTTCCTTAGAAACCTCCTTAGCCAAATATCCAAGTTCATCACTTACAAGTTCTACCTTCCACCAAACATTTGAACATAATTCAGACAAGTTCTTTGCCACTGTATGAAAAGCATCACGCTTTCTCCTCTGTCCAATCACATGTTCATTATTTTCTTTTAAAGCCTCACCAGAAGCACATTTCTAGCAACATTCTGTTGTCCATGCCATATGTATTCCCTAAGACGATAGAAACGTTCTCTATAACTCTCCTCACTTCTTTATGAGCCCTCACCAGAATTGTCTTTGACATCCATAATTCTACCAACAGTCTCTTCAAAGCAATCTAGACTTTTATTATTAGGCACCTTAAAACTCTTCCAGCCTCCACCCATTACCTAATTCTAAAACCACTTCCACATTGTAGGTATTTGTTAGAGAAGCACCCCCAATTCTTGATGCCAAATTCTGTCTTGGTTATGTAATACTGCTATAATAGAAATAACATAAATAGGTGGCTTTAATAAACAGAAATTTATTTTCTCAGAGTTTACGAGGATAAAAGTCCAAATTCAAGGTGCCAGCTCTAGGGGAAGGCTTTCTTTCTTTGTCAGCTCTAGAGGAAGGTCCTTGTCTCTTTGCGCTTCTGTTCCTGGGTGATCTTCATATAGCTTGGTATCTCTCTTCCCCTGTCTCTACTTATTCACTTGCTTGCTTAATCTCTTTTATATCTCAAAAGAGATGCACTCAACACACATCCTTCACTAATCCTGTCTCATTAACATAACAAGACAACCTATTCCCAACTGGGATTATAACCACAGGCATAGAGGTTAGGATTTACATATATTTTGAGGGAGACACAATTCAATCCATAATAGATGTAAAGATTTATACAAGAAAAACTACAAAACACTACTGCAAGAAACCAAAAGAGACCTACATAAATGGAAAAACATTCCATGCTCATGGATTGGAAGATTTAACACTGTGAAAACATCAATACCACCAAAAATGATCTATAGATATAATGCAATCCAAATCCCAACAACATTCTTTAATGAAATGCAAAAACTTATCTCTAACTTTATATTGAAATGAAAGAAGCAATGAATAGCTAAGCAATATTGAAGAAGAACAAAGTAGGAGGTCTTACACGTATGGATCTCAAAACTTACTATACAGCCACAGTAATCAAAACAGCCTGCTAGTGGTTCAACAACAGACACGTAGGCCAATGGAACAGAATTAAGAACCCAGAAGTAAACCCATCCATCTGTGGGCAGCTGATCTTCAACAAAGGGTCAAAGTCCATTCAATGGGGAAGAAACAGTCTCTTTAACAAATGGTGCTGGCAAAACTGGATATCCATTTGCACAAAAATGAAACAGGATCCATACCTCACACCATACGCAAAAACTAACTCAAAATGGATCAAAGACCTAAATGTTAAAACTAAAGCTATAAAGTTCCTGGAAAATAATAATAAATAGGGACAAAACTAGGGGGTCCTAATTTTCCACATAAATACACTACCAAACACAACTAAAAATACACAAACAACAGATGATAATTAGACAACTGGGATCTTTTAAAAATTAAATATTTGTGCTCATCAAAAGACTTTACCAAAAGAATAAAAAGAGAACCTGAACAGACTGGGAAAAAATCTTTGGCAACAACATATCCGACAAGGGTATAATATCTAAAATACATAGAAAACTTCAACAACTCAACAACAAAAAGACAAACAATCCAATTAAAAAATGAGTAGAGGACATGAACCGACACTTCAACAAAGAGAACATTCAGGCGGCTAAGAAACACATGAAGAGATACTCGCAATCATTAGCCATTAAACCAAAAAAAAAAAAAAAGAAAAACCCACCGCCATCAAGTCAATTCCAACTCATAGCAACCCTGTAGGACAAAGTAGAACTGTCCCATAGGGTTTCCAGGAGCAGCTGGTGGATGTGAACTGCAGACCTTTTGGTAAGCAGCCAGGATTAGCCATTAGAGAGATTCAAATCAAAACTACAATGAGATACCATTGCCAAAAACGGCAATGATCAAAAAAACAGAAAACAACAAATGCTGGCAAGGTTGTGGGGAAACTGGAACACTTATACACTGCTGGTGGGACTGTAAAATGGTACAGCCACTATGGAAAACAGTATGGTGCTTCCTCAAAATGCTAGAAATAGAAATACTTTATGATCCAGCAATCCCACTCCTAAGTATACATTCTAGAGCTATAAGCACAGTGACACGAATATGCAGACCCATGTTCACTGCACATTATTCGCACTAGTAAAAAGATGGAAACAACCAAAGTGCCCGTAAGCAGATGGATGCATAAACAAATTGCGGTACATACGTACAATGAAGTGCTATGCAACTATAAAGAATAATGAGGAGTCCATGAAACATCTTATAACATGCATGAAACTGGAGGACATTATGCTGAGTGAAATAATTCAATCACAAAAGGACAAATATTGTATGGTCCCACTATTATAAAAAGTCAAGAATAAGTATACACACAGAAAGCAACGTTCTTTGATGGTTACCAAGGATGGGACGGGGAGGGAAGATGAATCACTTGCTAGATAGTAGACACTTGTTTTTTCTGAGGATGGGAAGGGCAATACACAATATGGGGAAAGTCAGCACAACACGACCAAAGTAAATGAAGACTGAGAGGTATGCAACAAAAAAAGGACAATTACAATAAATGTTATATAAAATTTTTCAACAACAGTGTTAACAATGAAAAAATATGTGCGTATATGTGTATAGGAAGATACATGTGAGTACATGCACATGCATATATAGGTGTACTTGTAGGTATAAAGATATACATGTTTGGATGTGCTACATATGTTGTTGTTAGGTCAGTTGTGTCAGTTCCAACTCATAGCAACCTATGTACAACAGAACGAAACCCTGCCTGGTCCTGCACCATCCTCACAATTGTTGCTATGCTTGAGTCCACTGTTGCAGCCACTGTGTCAATCCATTTCGTTGAGGGTCTTCCTCTTTTTCACTGACCCTCTACTTTACCAAGCGTGATGCTCTTCTCCAAGGACTGATCCCTCCTGATAACATGTCCAAAGTATGTGAGACAAAGTCTCACCATCCTTGCTTCTAAGGAGCACTCTGGCTGCACTTCTTCCAAGACAGACTTGGTCATTCTTCTGGCAGTCCATGATATATTTAATATTCTTTGCCAACACCATAATTCAAAGGCATCCATTCTTCTTCAGCCTTTCTTATTCATTGTCTAGTTTTCACATGCATATGTGGCAATTGAAAACACCACGGCTTAGGTCCGGCGCACCTTAGTCCTTAAAGTGACATCTTTGCTTTTTAACACTTTAAGGAGGTCTTCTGCAGCAGATTTGTCCAATACAGTGTTTGATTTCTGGACTACTGCTTCCATGGGCTGGTGGCGCAGGGATTAAGAGCTACAACTGCTAACCAAAAGGTCAGCAGTTCGAATCCACCAGCCACACCTTGGAAACCCTATGGGGAAGTTCTACTCTGTCCTATAGGGTCGCCATAAGTCAGAATTGACTCAACGGCAACAGGTTTCGTATTTTTCTTTTGGCTTCCATGGGCATTGATTGTGGGTCTAAGTAAAATGAAATCTGTGCTACATATATATTCATATATATAATAAAGCACATGGGGGGCACAGTTACAGAGACCTCCTAGACATAGCCAAACACCTCGTGGGATTGGTTCACTGGGTTAAAGGGTTTGGGACCATAGTCTTGTGGGAGAACTCAGTCAATTGGCATAACATAGTTCATAAAGACAATGTTCTACATCCTAGTTTAGTGAGTAGCATCTGGGGTCTTAAACACTTGTGAGCAGGCATCTAAGATACAACCATTGGTCTCTTCTCGTATAGAGCAAAAAGAATGAAGGAAACCAAAAACTCAAAGAAGAAACTAGTCCTCAGGACTAACAGCTCACACAAACCACAGCCTCTTCTACCTGAGACCAGAAGAACTAGACAGTGCCCGGCTACCACTACCTACAGTTCTGACCAGGGACACAAAAGAAGGTCCTGGATAGAATGAGATAAAAATGTAGAACAAAACTCAAATTCCTAAGAAACACTAGAGTTACTAGACTGATAGAGACTAGAGGAACCCCCAAGACTATCACCCTAAGATACCCTTTTAACTTGGAACTGAAGTCACTCCCTGAGGTTATGTTTCAGCCAAATAATAGATTGGCTTATAAAATAAACAATACCACCTGGGAGGAATGTGCTCCCTTAAACAATCAACTATATGAGACCAAACAGTCAACATTTACCTAAAAGGAAAGATGAGAAAGCAAGGAGGGGCAGGGGAGATAGATAAATATAAACAGAACAAACCAGGACTTTGAACTGGTGGTTTGTTCAAGTTCAAACCCCTGCTGATAATTTGCATTTCTAACAGGTGATGCTAGTGTTGCTGGTTAGGGACCAATTCTGAGAACCACTAGTAAAGCCAAACCAAAAACCAAACCCACTGCCACTGAGTCAATTCCAACTCATAGCGACCCTACAGGACGGAGTAGAACTGACTCAGAGTTTCCAAGGCTGTAAATCTTTACAGAAGCAGACTGCCACTACTTTCTCCCATGGAGCAGCTTTCCGGTTAGCAGCCAAGCACTTTAACCACTGTGCCACCAGGGCTCCTACTAGTAGAGCACTGGGTCTCAAAATTTATTATACAAAAGAATCACCTGGGGATCTTGTGAAAATGTAGATTCTTATTCAGTATATCTGGGGTACAAATGCAAATTCTCAGCAGGGGTTCAGACCAGAATGAAACTGTTCAAAGCCCTAGGACAAACAGAATGGGAATAATGAGAATGCTGACACATGGTGAAAATTCTAACCAATGTCACAGAACAATTAGTATAAAAATTGTTAAATGGGAAACTAATTTGCTGTGTAAACTTTCACATAAAACACAATAAAAACATTCAAAAATAATAAAAACGGTTAAAAAAATAACAGTAAATGGTTAACACACTCAGCTGCTAACCAAAAGGGTGACAGTTCAAGTCCACCCAAAGGCACCTCGGAAGAAAGGCCTGGTGATCTACATCTGAAAAATCAGCCACTGAAAACCCTATGGAGGACAGTCCTACTCTGACACACCTAGGGTCACGCTGAGTCAGAGTTGATTTGACGGCAACTGGTATCCAAATGTTCCCCAAGGACAACAGAGAATGGGAGAACTGCTGAGGACCAGCGACAGGGTGAGAAATTTGGGAGTTCCCTGTGCACCCCTTTCACAGGCAGCAGGAAGGCTTTCTTCACAAGGGTGCACAACACAGGGTCTTGGCTGTGAGTTTGAATCTGGCTCTTCCCAGAGTGGGCACCCTGGGGAACACACCCTGCTTCCAGGCCGTGTTACAGCCAGGCGGTTGGACAGAAAAATCTGCCAACTCTCCTCCCCCACAATAGCCCATCCCAGCCTGGAGACCCCTGGGATCCCCGAGTCCCAGAAACGAGAATCCCCGGGGTGAATGAGGGACATCCGGAAAACAAATGCCAGCTTCTCAAAAACAAGAGAGGCCTGTTCCCCGCTCTGAGGGTGTACAGATGAAGGAGAAAGGAATTCTCCCACAACACAAAGCCATTCTGCCCAAGGACAAGTGGCATATTGTCAGGGTCAGGCCGCAGGAGGCAGAGACTCAAGAGGGGACCCACCTTCACCAACAGCCTCCCGCGGCCATCCCAGTCCATCTGCAGGTCCTCCCTGTAGCTGAGGCGTACAGAGGCCATCACAGTGGGCTGGATGCGGAGGTCACCTGGAACCAAGAAGGGACAGGATATAAGCTGAGGTAGGGAGCAGGCAGGGTGGTGGCAGGCAGATGTATTGTGGGGTGGGCACAGATGGCGGTGTCTACAAGGCTTAAAAAGGTGTCAGGAGGAAGAGTGAGTAGGTTGGATATAGGGTAAACAGGGTTGCCTACGGAAGCCTCAGCATCCCTGCTGTAGCATGCTATTCCTCCTGCTGCCACAAGAGCGAAGCAGAGACTCTTGCATCCTTCACTTTAGCACATGTCCTAAAGGGATCTGTGCCTACCGTCGAACCCATGACACATGAGCATGGCTGGGCCCCTATGCCATTGCACACCACTTCCAGGCTGAGTTATTCAGTCCTCATGGCTGTGTGCACACGACTGTGTGCAAAGCTGAATATCGCAGTTCTCGTTGCTGTGGGAAGGTGGAGAAGAGACAGGAGGCATACCTCTTGCCCTGGAGGAAGGTACCATCTCATAGGGAGACACACACAGCATTAAATACACATGGACATGCTGTGTGCCCACCAGCCCAAGTTCGTCAGCTGTGTGCAATGCTATGAGAATCGGCCATGGAGTGGCTAGACCAGCTGGAAAGTAATCATGGAGAAGAGAGGAGGCATTTGAGACAGAGCCACTAGGAAGGGGAAGGTTGGGAGCTGTGCTGTGCAAAAGTGGTTTTGTTTTGACAGGGCATAGTGCAACCCATGCAGAGTCACTGGACAAGCAGGTTTTCCACAGGTCGCAGGGTTGCTTGGCCCTGCCCTGAGTGTCATCCTCTGCTCTAACTCATCACTAGTCATCCCCTGAGCCTCAGTCTCTCCTTCTTTTCCACCTCAAAGTAGAACCACCCTGCCCAACCTCCTACTGGCCCCGTTGGCTCAAGTCAAGTGAAAATCTTCTTGGCTCCCTTCTCCCCTCTGCATTCTCTCTCAAGCCTGGAGCAGCCTCCTCATCTCCAAGCATTCAGACACCTCCCTCCTCTCATCCTCTTCCTGCAGGACACCTTCCTGTCTTGCAGGGGTGCAGGCCAAGGATATCCACCCCCCCCTCCAACAGCAACTCTACATCACATTCACACAGAAGAGGGCAGGCCATCAGGGGATGGATGAAGCTGAGCAGAGGGGCGCTGTGGATGAGCTGATGGAGGAGGAGGGAGCTCACCTTGCAGGAAGGGGAGCTGGACGTCCTGGCCAGTTATGGTGACACCTCCCCCATGCTTCAGCTTCACGAGGCTGTTGTGCAAGAGGGGCAGCCGGACAGTGACTGAGCGGGTGCAGACAGCGTCAGGGTCATCGGCACACTGCCAAGGGGGGCATGCAAGAGTGTCATCACCACACCCTGCCATCTCAGAAAGCCTCTGAGAGCCTTCTCACATTGTGTAACTCCATTCTCACAGAACATTCTATGTGAACGGGGCTCCTAGAGTTGTGCAACAAGAATGCCCTAAGCCCAAGCCTCCCAAACCCGTTTCCTTCCTGGCCTGATCTTTTACAAGAACTCTAGGACTCTGGCTCATGCTTTTGCTTCTTGGGTCTATTGTTTCAAAGCTAATCAGGGTCTTTGATCTCAGGGTGAGCCCTACATGCTCTGTCTTCATCTTTGCTTCCTCATCTAGAGAAATATATATATACATACACACACACACATACATGTACATAAATATGTATATATAATATGTATGTATATCTATGTATATATGTATATGTGTATAAAAACTCATTGCTGTTGAGTGGATTCCAACTCATAGCAACTCTATAGGGGGTCCTGGTGGCACAGTGGTTAAGAGCTCGGCTGTTAATCAAAGGTTTCACAGTTCGAATCCACCAGGCACTCCTTGGAAACTCCATGGGGCAGTTCTACTCTGTCCTACAAGGTCGCTATAGTTGAAATGGACTCGACATCAATGGGTTTTTATATGTATATATGTGTGTATACACGCACATATACACACACACATACATGTACCATAGAGCTCAGTGAAGGAGATGGGCCCACCTTGTCCCCACTCTCATCATCTCCCAACCCCAAACAGCAGAGGTGCAGCCATGGGGGCAGCAGACTAGGCCTAAAGGTGATTCTTGGCTGTCAAGCTGACCTGCCCTGAGGAGGTTCTGTTGGCAGTACCTCCCTGTATCTAGAGGGAGGGCTGGGCTGGGCTTCTGAAAGAATGAGAGGCTAACTATAGTCTGGAAGAAGGGGCCTCCCTCCTGCACAGAAGTTACTGCCCATGTACCCCCCAGAGAGCTGCCCTCTTACCCTGGCAGCTACTCCAGCCACCTTGGGCTGCCCCCTGGCCGGCTGGGCTGGCAAAGCTCACCTGGACGGTTTCTATGACAATGGAAAAGGAGTGGTCCTCGCAGTCCCGGGCCAGCAGGTACTGGCAGACCCCACTGAAGGTGAAGTACCTGTTGTCAAAGCTCTTGAAGTGAGATTGTCCTGTGACCAGACACTCACCTGGAGAAATGCAGAGAAAAAGGAGGAAGAATGGGAGGAGAAGGGAAACCCTCCTGGTGGGGGCAAATCGGAATGCACATACGAGCAGGGAGCCCTCACACCAAAACTCCACGGATGTGTTCTACACTAGTCCTAACCAAAAGACTCCAAGTCAGTTCCAACTCCTACAACCATAAGATGTCAGCAGGATCATTGTCCATTTTATAGATGGGGAAGCTAAGGGAAGTGACTTACTCAAAGTCACGCTTGGTCAGTGGCAGATCTTAGACTAGAACCCACACCTCCTGACCCTGTGTCTACAGCTGCTGCCCCTCCTGCCAGGTTCTGTGCTTCCCACTGGGGTCAGGGGCCAGCCCAGCACAGGCGACAGCCTGGGAGCTGCAGAGTGCTCAGCTGGGGAGGGGCCTGTCAAAATGTACCACCTTCTCTGAATTGGGACTGTGATACTACCCCACCCCACCCAACCCTACTGTGGAGAGCTCTCTAAGACAGTCCCTAAAGGCAAGCAGGGGGGTAGGGGGAAGACACTCTCAGAGCTCAGCAGTGATGAGTGAAGGATTCCATCCTCGCCACCCCAGCTGAGGGGCGGCTCTAAGCCCTCCTCACAGGCAAGTCCATCTGTGACTTCAGCCAGGGCCAATGGGGGCCCAGGAGGCTAACTGCCCATGATCTCACCACTGCCCTGGCAGTACTGAGCTCTGCAGAGCCAGCTCCCAGCCCAGGCTGACACGTCTGTGGGTGGGGATGAGGACTCCCCTCCTTCACCCTGCAACTCAGAGCACTGAACTTGCCCCCAACACAACCACCATCATCCTCCCCCATAGCCCAGCCCAGGCCCTATACCTCTGGCCCAATACACCTCAGACCAGAGATACCACATCTGGGAAAGCTGCCCTCCCAGAGGAGGTCTCTGCAATGCCTCCAGTGATTCCCTATCAGCCCCACCCCAGCTCAGGGCAACCCCATCCCCGGGGCCACAATGGACCCATTGAAGCTGAACCAGCCATCTGGAGCCCTTCCCAACCTCCTTTATGTATTTCCTCTCTCTGTTCTCATCTTTGCCTTCTACTCCATATGAAAAGAAGTAGACATGCATACCATGGCAGTTCCATAAAGGAGAGGCCCTCTTTCCCTCCCACCCACTCTCGCCCTCCAAACAGCGGAGACTTGGTTCTCCATAGCACTGATCTAGCCTAAACCTAAAGTTCTCCCGGGAGAGTCCTACAGCCAATCCCATCTGGACCTATCTTTAAGGGCTGGGGCTGGGCCCTGTCACACAGCCAGGGGCTGCCCAGAGCCACAGCGGAGATTCCAGCTGCCCTCCTGTCAATGAGGGGCTACACAGACCCCCACCGCCCGCTGCCTTCATGCCCATCTTTGTGCTGACAGGCATGGTCAGGGGCAGGGCTAGACCGCACAGCTTTGGTCTAGGGGTGGTCCTGTCTATTTGGTAGTGTTTGGAGGAAGGGGTAGGGGAGTAGCCCTAGGCTGCTGGTAAGTATCCCTCTGCCTGGTCCCCAGAAAGGCTGATCCACTCCAGGATGGCATGGGCCAGGAGAGGAACTTAGGGGTAAGCAGGGAGGCCTGAGATCCTTCTCCTCAGTACCCTTAACACCTCATTGCCCCTCAAGAAAGGACAGAATGGGAATCATTGCTGGTGGAATTCAGGGCAGAATACACAACAAGAAAAAAGGTGCAGAGGTCATCCCAGCTGATTGTATGTGGGCTGGAATTCCAAACCCAGTGATTTCAGAGGAAAGCCTTTTTTAAAACGGTTGTTTTTCAGAAATCACCACCATTCTACAAACAGTTACAGTCACTGGTGTCAAATGTCTCGACTCTGTTGCAGTAGTAAACTGGGTGGGAATTCTTCCCCCAACCTTTCTCTGTTTTCTCAGGAGCACTCTTATCTGAGTAAGAAATTGGACCCCTATTATCTTTGACAATGCCCAGGAAAAGGGGGGTTCAGTGAGAAAATATACAAATATCCAAAAGCAAAATTGTCAGCTCTGGAATCTAATCCTCTAACCTGATTTCCTGCTCTGACTCCCACTGATTTGTGTTTCCAAGTTTCTCAAGAATCAGAAGCCTAAATATTACATTGTGCTTCTTATCTCCTTGGTACAATCGATGGACAGAGCTGCAGGCACAGGAAACCCAGGAACTCGGAGGATGAGCTGCTGGGTGGCAGCTGGTCACGGAGCTGGTACGTCAGCCAGAACTACAGGCCACACGGCAACGCTGACCAACCCTCTGCCCGGAGAGGACACCAAAGACAGCCCCAGTCCATCAGTCAGCAAAAGGCAGTCGTCGGTGGGCAATGAGTCGTTGGTGAATGAATGAAAAGCAGGTGACCCTTAGAATACCATTCAAAGTAGAACATCCAGCAATTAAAGCAGATCCACTCCTACAAGCATAAAGATCCTCCCTCATGAAAAAAATAAATGTCTCATCTGATGGAGGCATATTACTGCTTCTAATCACACCACCACCACCTCCCTTTTTTTTTTCCACAGTAAGTGAGTCCTTTACAAGCGGCTGCTCTGTACAGATCACTGTCTTCCACTCTTTCCCATGCAGCATACACAAATACCAGCCCACAGGCTTTTAGCAAAGCAGCTCAGACTTCCTGCTGATGCAAATTTTCAGCAAAGCCTGCCTCTAAATTACAACATAACCTCAACCAAGTTTACAAGTACATTTCTAAGTGCCCTGTGGCTACCATCTCCTTTGTTGTTCCTGTAAGGTGCTCATTCTTATTCTCCATTTTACAAATGAGGAAACTAAGGCAGAGGAGTTAAAGAACTCACCCAAGGTCCCAAAACAGTCAGCAGGGATTTAAACCTGAGGAGCCTTGGTGGCACAACAGTTGAGTGCTTGGCTGCTAACTGAAAGCCTGGCAGTTCAAATCTACCCAGTGGCTCTGTGGGAGAAAGACCTGGCCATCTGCTTCTGTAAAGATTACAACCTAGAAAACCCTATGGGGCAGTTCTACTCTGTCCCATGGAGTCACTATGAATCAAAATCAACTTGACAGCACCTAACAACAACAAGAAATCTGGCTCCAGAGCCCAAAGCACTTGACACCACCCCATACTGCCTCACAATGGGCTCCTACCTCTGCTCAGACGCCTGATTTCTTCAGGGCCATGCCTGATGTTATTCTGACCCTGGGCACACACGGGCACATGCCAAGGGACAGAGACACAATGGGTCTGCATATAGAGACTGGGGGAGGAACATGTTGGATGTAAAAGGAGATACCTTGCCCCGGCCTGAAGGGAGTCTGGTATGACACCAGAAGACCCAACATGGGCCAAGGCAAGCCATGGGACACTTCCCATGAACCTGGGGAGTCAGAACCCCCATTCGAACCCTGGGTACCTGGGAACACACACTCAGATGGGAGAGGCATCTGCCCTGATTCACTCATCACTGCATCTGTTGACCAAAGATGCAGGTTTATCTTCCTCCCTGTGAGCTTCAGAACAGAGCTTGGATTCCAAAGCCGAATTACAGGGCCGTTTTAGAATCCATCAGAAATTATCTGAACAGCGAGAGACAGCTCTATTCCAAAGCCTTCCCTCCAACCAACCCAGGCAGGTCGACAAGCTCCCACACCACCACGCTCCAGCACTGTCTTACTCTCCTGCTCCACCCGCCCGAGCCATACCCCTGCCTCATACCACCCCTCCCACTCCCTGCTCCTTTGGACATATGCCTGTGTCTCCATCATTCTCCAACCCTGCTTAACCAAACAGCTACCTCTGTGCTCTACAAAGACGATAACAGTTGACATTTACTGAATGCTTACTGTGTGTCAAGTAACAACAGCCACGTGATGAAACTCCTGTTATTAGCCCTACTTTACAGATTAGGAAACTGAGGTTTCAAATGATTAAACACTTTGCCAAAAGTCACACAGCTGGTAAGCAGGCTGAGTTCTGAGTTCAGAGCTCATGCTCAGAACCCCCATACCATGCCAGCTTTATAGGTTCATAGGATTGGGGCCACAAATGAAAAGCCCTCCACTCACATCTTCTCAGCTCTAGAAAAGTACTTTCCACACTCTTCCACTAGGAGTTTGAAATTCTTTAACAAGAGATTTATTTGTTTGAGCAAAAGTCCCTATTAACAGGCACACTCCTTTCACAGTAACCCTAACCAAACATTTATAGTTCAATGGGAACTAAATTACAGAGCTTCTCTGGGCAGTGCTTTTACAGAGGAGGGGAAGAGGTGCTTGGGGTTATGAAACGGAAGTCTGCAGGCTGAGGAAACCACAATTTTGCCTGAGGCTTCCCTAATTCCTACCCAGTGAGTAGAGGTGTAGCAGTCCCCTGGGTGGTGCAAACAGTTAACAGAAATGTTGGCAGTTTGAATTCACCCAGAGATACCTCGGAGGAAATACCTGTTGATCCATTCGCAAAAGATCACGGCCATTGAATACCCTATGGAGCACAGCTCTACTCTGAAACACATGAGGTCACCATGAGTGGAAGTGGACTCAACAGCAACTGGTTGGTTGGTTGGTTGGCTGGTTGGCTGGCTGGTTAAGTAGAGGTATGCAGGAAGCAAAGGAGGCCTAACAGAGCACATCACAGTAAACTCCAGCCCCTCCCTAAATAGACTACTGCTCTCCTAGGCTCTTCCTCCTCCCTCCCACTACCCACTACCCACACTCTCTGTGCTAGGCAGCCTCTAAGATGGCCCTGATGGTCCCTATCTCCTGTATGCAAGTCTTCATGTAATTCCCTCCCCTTGAGTGGGGACTGGACTTGTTCACTTGTGTTACCTCAGAGATTGGGTTTTTAAAAGACGGTGGCTCCTATCTTGGGTGCCCTCTCTCATTTTAGATCACTTGCCCTAGAGGAAGCCATCTCATGTCATGGAGGCAGGCCTGTGGAGAGGACCACATGGTGAGGGACCAAGGCCTACCAACAGCCACATGAGTGAGCTTGGAAGTAGATGGCCTTCATTCCCAGTAGAGCCTTCAGATAAGGCCACAGCCCCAGCCAACAGCTTGACTGCAACTTCTTGAGAGATTTTGGGCCAGAGTCAGCCAGCTAAGGCACATCCAGATCCCAATGCACAGAAACTGCAGTATAATAAATGTTTGTTGTTTAAATTGCTAAGTTTTGGGAGTAATCTGTTAAATAGCAATAGATAACCAATACACTCCCGTCTTGTTCCAAAGAATCAAAACCCGGCTCTGTATTTCTAAAACTCAAAATGTCAACTCCTCCAGGGGCTGCAGAGAACCCTGGACAGCTCTCTGCCTTACTAGAAAAGCCAAGCATATCCCCTTCCAGAACCTTCCTGTCCACTCTTCCCACCAGAAGTGCTATCTGCAATTATCACAGTGGGGGCATCAGACAGGCCCACTGGCAGCTGAACCATGGCAAGGTGTAGAAATATGCCCATGTGTCATGACAGAAATGGACTGGGAGGCAACAATCAACTAAACTGCAGAATTAAAGAAAGAGGGTCAGAGCCAAGGCTTTGAGAACGCAGAGCAAGAGGTTAGTGGTTTCACTGGCAAAATATCAAACCACTCAGTAGACCACAGAGTTGAAATTGATTACCTCCCATCAGGACATCAGGAGAATGTCTTGCATTCTTAATGAGGTGGTCTTCTAGATTTTGAATAGAAGGTCAGGGATCATATTGTCTGTCCCAGACTAAGCATTCCACCATGTACACAGTGGGTATTCAAATAGTTGTTGGACGAGTGGACAGATGGATGGATGGATGGGTGGGTGAGTGCATGGATGCGGGGGGAGGAATGGATGGATGGATGGATGGCCCTCCTTACCATAAGTGGTTGTTAAGAATCCCTAATCTGGTAGTCAATCTGACAAAACACAATAAACCAAGTTCCCAATTCCATCAACTGTGGACCATAGATCTTATACAATGAACAATGATGTATTTAGATATTAAAAGTTTTTTAAAGATTGATTGCAGCAACCTCTTATGTCTTTCAGAGGGTTCTTTAGGTCTTTCACAGGGTATGATTATGCTAAATTGAAGCATGGATATCACTTCCAAGGGCAATCTTTATCCTTCATGTTTCCTTCAAGGATTGCACAGAAGATAAACTGGCTGGTTGGTCCATCCCTGGGACAGACTAATTGACTTAGCCTTATTGACCACTTCCCATCTACTTCCAGATTTTTCCCAGTGTAGGGGGCACAGGAGAAGGTCCTGAGTGACTCTAAAGGCTTTAATCCACAGACCCCAAATATGATCCCAGGTAGCCAAGTCTAATCCCCACCAAAGCCAATGTGGCCTCTTCAGACCAAGAGGGGAGCCCCTCATCTAGGTGTTTGTCCTACAGTTTTGTACTGCACTCTGTAAGCACGGGGGCCCACAAAGTTTTATCTAAGCTGAAGCTGAGCTGGGCTTTAACTAAGGGGGGGAGCCTCTCCTGAGCTCATGAAAAGATGGCAAAGATCCTCTTGAAAACAAATGGATCAAGAATTAGGAAAAACAGGAAAAATAAGGGCAAAGGTAGGAGTAAGGCAGTTGTGTGTTTGAGTCCTAGCTCGGCCTCTTAGCAGCTGTGTGACTTATGGCAAGTTATTTAACCTCTCTGGGTCTTTTTCCTCTTCTGTCAAATGAGAATAAATAGTACCTGCCTCATAGGTTGTTATGATGAGGTAACACAGATAAAGTGCTTAGCACAGAGTCCAGCACATAGTAAATACCATGTTAGTTACCATAAAGGTGAAAAGCCATCAGGAGAAGAGCTAGGGTCACTGGGGAGTGAGGCAGAAGGGGACTTAGAATGAGCAAAGTTTTCAGTAAATAGAATAGGGTTGGCACCAAACACAGGGGAAAGTGAAGGACAGAGATTTTAAGACAATTTTTCCTAAACACATTTCCCAGGGCAGGGACAGGGCTGGGAGAATCCTTTGGTGACCTGGTTTTCTTAGTTCTTGGAATATGCTAAAGCCTTCATATCACGCATTCCAGAAAGTTCCATTAAAACTCACTTCAGGCGTAGAAACTTACCAGCCCCTTCTTCCTCTTAATTTTCCAAAGAATTTGAGTTCCCTTTACTTAGTCAGTCATGACCTTACAGGCCTTGCAGCTCATTCAGCCTTGATCTTTAAGCAAACAGGTGATGAGAAAAGAACAAAACCTGAGCCCAGGTGCATTCTCCCCTTTCCTCTACTGCAGGGCTCCCCTCCTCTGGCCCTTGAGCAAGTTAGCACAACTGCTGTCTGAAACCCGAGCTATGGTCAGGTGGTTGCAATGGGGCCTTCTTCCCCCTGCCTTGATGTGTGGCCTCTCTGTCTAGTAAGGGAGGACACACCTCTCCATTCAGAGAAGAGATGGAAGGAGCAAAAAGTCACCTACCTGGGCATTCTTCATTGCTGCAGATCCACAGGCTATTTCGGCAAATGCTGTTGAAAAGAGAAGCACGTGTCATTGGTAGAGCTGCAAACAGGGTTTTTTCCATTGCTGTCAGGTCGATTCGAACTCATGGCAATGCCATGCATTACAGAGTAAAACTACCCCATGTTGTTGTCTGGGCTGTAGTCTTTACAGAAGCAGATCACCAGGCCTTTCTTTCATGGCACCACTGGGTGAATCTGAACTGCCAACCTTCAGGTTAGCAGTTGGGTACAAACCATTTCCGCCACCTGGGAACCTAAATCCAGGCTACATGAATGGATTTAAAGCTCACAACAGATACCACAGCGCCCAAAGGAAAAGGACTTGGGAAAAGAAAGGAGCTGATGCTAGAGGACTGTTTATGAGGCTAAAGCTGTGCAGCACAGGGCTTTGGCTGCAAAGGAATCTTGGAGACATTGCCAAGGGGAAGAAACCCTGATGCAGAAGAAGAAAGAATACTTAGGAGATAATAACGTCTCTGAAAAATCTACCCAGGCACTAAGAACTCAAATTTCTATCCCCACAATCAGCCAGTGGAATAGAACAAGGGAGAGATGCTGAAAGGGGAAATGCCAAGAACCATGTTGGGCAGCTGACTGAGACTCAATGCAGGCTGAGTAGTGCTGAAGCCTACCCAGCAGGGAAAGACAGCAAAGGGAAGAGGCCTGGAAATGAAACCAGAAGTTATTTTCCCAGGTGCACAGAGGGCAGGCAAACCTAGCCACAGCAAACATTCAAGGGGAATTCTTGAGAAGATGACTTGAGGTAAGCAGAGACAGGGGTGCAGGCTCCTAGTCAATCTGCATGTCTTCCTACTAGGCACTGCTGCTTTCTAAAAAAAAAAACAAGTTGCCATTGAGTCGATTCTGACTCATGGCAACCCCACGTGTGTCAGAATAGAACTGTGCTCCACAGGGTTTTCAATGTCTGATTTTTTTGGAAATAGGTTGCTAGACCTTTCTTCCAAGGGACCTCTGGGTGGATTGAACCTCCAACATTTCATTTCGCAGCTGAGCACATTAACCGTTTGCACCACCAAGGCACTCCCTGTTGTTGTTGTTAGCTGCCATTGAGTGGATCCCCAACTTATGGCTACTCTATGTAAAATGTAACCAGACCATTGTGATACATAGGGTTTTCACTGGATGATTTTTTGAAGTAGATCGCCAGGCCTTTCTTCCTGCTCTGTCTTAGTCTGGAAGCTCCACTGAACCTGCATCACAGCAACACAAAAGCCTCCACTGACAGATGCATAGAGTCTATGACTGAGGAGAATTGGCTGGGAATCAAACCCTGATCTCCCGAATAGGAGGCAAGGATTCTGCCACTGAACCACTAGTGCCCTCTAAGGACCCTCTGCTGTTGTTGTTGTTGTTAGGTGCCATAGAGTCAACTCCAACAACTCACAGCAACCCCACGTGACAGAGCAGAACTGCCCTATAGGGTTTTCTTGGCTGTAATCTTTACGGGAGCAGATCGCCTGGTCTCTTCCCCTCGAAGCCAATGGGTGCGTTAGAACTACCAACCTTTTGGTTAGCAGCTGAGCCCTTAACCACCGTGCCATGCCCACCTATTAAAAGATTTCAAGTAGAGAAGGAAACTCATGCTGCTTGGTGACTGTTGTATAGTCCGTCTTCAGGGAGAGAAAATCATGTTTTACAATATAGTTTGTGGAGAAAGCTAGAGCTGTGGTTTGTATGTAAATGATCTTCACTTCTTGACCGCCCCCATCCTCCAGGCATAGCTGTAATATAATCCTTGGCTCTTCATTGCTGACTTCAGTGCCCTTTACCAACCCCAAATCTCAGTCTATTCTCCCTCAGCCCAGGCCAGGCCCTGTCCCACCTGCAGCTGTCCCTATTGCACCAGCGTACCCTCCCAAAGCCCGTGGCCTGCTCTCTCAGCCCACACTGTGCAGTCCCAATTACCAGGTGTTGCAGTCTTGCGAGAGGGAGGATCCTGGAGGGTACCACTTCCCAGAATGCACACAGGAACAATCAGCGCGCTCCACACAGTGACCTTCATCAAGTAGCTGCCCCTCTGGGTTCAAGGGCACCAAAGCAAAGGTCTTAATATTATCATCGTCATTACTCATCTCACAAGTATATAATCCCCACAGGCAGTCAGTTTAGGGCTTCTTCCAGAAAACTCAAAGAAGTTCTGTGATGTTTACCTTTCACATTAATCAATATGAGGGAGAGGGATTATTCATGCCCATTCTACAGATAAAGAAATTCAGAAAAGAGTTTTGTTCAAGGTCATCCAGTAGGGAAGTCATGAGTCTAGGCTTAGGGTTTCTTCCAGGACACTCAAAGAACTTTCACACTAATGCAGTGTGGGGAAGTGGGAGAGGATTAGAAATCTCCATTCTTCAGATGAAGAAATGGGGAAGAGAATTTTGTTCAATGCCGTCCAGTACGGAGTCCTGAGTCCAAACACACAGGACTCACTCTCAGTAATTAAACAGGGTTTTCCACCAAAGCTCACAAAGTCTCTCTTGAGAAAGACTTTCTAGTGCACAGCTCTTTTTCAGCTGAGTTCATATGGAAAACTCAGGAAGCACTTTTAAACATCTCTCCCAGACTGGTTCCCTGCCACCTAACTGGGAAAACAAAATTGCAGCTCAGATTGGGCCATGTGCTACCCAAACAAAGTCACCACTGGACCCCAGATCATCCTTCTAGTTCCCTAGACAGAAGTGCTTTCAGGGACACAGTACAACAGGAAAACATAAATTAAAAACAAATACCAGCTCAATCCTGATCACTCTGCACAAAGACTTTCAAAAAATAAATAGAAGGCCTCTGATTTCAGCAGTGGGGAACAAACACAAGTGGCCTTCATCTTGCCTCCCAAAGCCAAGGGCACTGGCAAGGTCTCAGGTTTGTAAATAAAGTGGTAAGTTTATTACCAGGGCAGCTGCAGCCGTCCACGCATTGCTCCTGACACACTTCATTGATGTGCAGGCTCTGGCAAGTTCTGGTGCAAGGGGACACACACTCCTTATACTCCATGCCAGCAGGGCATGCTGGTCCTAAAACAAAAAGCCAAAGTCATTTCCCCAAGAGCAGTTCCCCTCAAGTGCAGCATCCTACAAAACACACCATATTTGGAGCCTCCTTGCCCCCTTTGGCTGCTTTAGAGGCCATCTCTACCCCAATGGCCAACACGCCCCATTGAGGCTCCCCACTGCCCAACCACCCCTAATCTGAAGGAACACCTTCTCTATCAGGAGGTCCTCACTAGGACTTATCAGGGTCACAGAGGATCACCACCTATGTCCTTGGTCATCTGTCCCCCATGAACAATGTGGCATTGCTTTTCTCCTCTATGCTCTGCCCCTTTCACCTAAAACCCTTTCAGGGTGAGACCAAACCCTTTTACACTGAAAAAAAAAAAAAGGCTTCCTGGGACCAAGCAATCCTCCATCACATCCCCCCTCTGAAAGTTCCTCTTCCCCAAGAAATCGACCCTAATTCAATGCCCTACCTAGCAGGGGCAAGCTCTGTTCACACTCACTTTCTCTGCATGGGTGATATTCATTCCGTATTTGTTTCCACTTTGCTGCAGGACTACATTCAGGGTCCTATCACCTAAGCATCTCACTGTTCTCCCCCACTGGAACCAGCTCCTCTGGACCAAGGATTGGGTCTCCTTATTTCTTTCCACCTCATGGCTAACTGATGCTCTGGCATACTGAAAGAGCAGGCCATACCAAAGCTCTTTTCTGGACTTCGTGACACCAAACAATTGACCCAAGCACCTTCTCCTCCAAGATACGTCAAGTATTTCCCCTATCCAACATTCAAAGACCAAAAAAACCTGCCAATCCACCAAGTTTTTCCTTATAAAGGAGAAACCAGCTGCTAATGTCCACCTTTCTCACACCCCCGCAGCAAAGAAGAAAAGCTTTCATTTCTAAGCTGTTCGCTGCAAACTGAAAAACGTGTGCAGTGTAAATATTTTGCCTGCTCCTCTATCTCCATCAGTCTGTACTATCTGTGTAATTGCATGTCCATCTGCATGGCTTTTGATCAGTGAAAGGTCTTGAGTTAGAGGAGGTTTCTTGAAAGGTGACCAGAGAAGGTTCCACTTAATCATAATAATTTGGGGATGGCGACAATGATTAGGCATCCAACGAGATTAGAAGATCAAAATCACAGGAGCCGTGAGGTGAGGTAGAAAGAATGTGTTCAGCCTGGAGGAGGGAAGGCTGACTTAATAAAAGGGAAGAACTTAATAAAAGCCTTCCAGCCGCTGAAAGATCATCACGTGGACACTTGGGCCAACTCCCTGTACCTTGTCAATTCAGACAGGCAGAGGGTGAAGACATCAATTAAAATGGCAACTGCTGGGTTTTGTCAGAAGCAGAGAATATTTTGCAAGTCAGGGAATGGATTTCCTGAGGGACGTCACGGAGAACATGTGATGGGTGATGAGAAAACGGAGGCAGGAGAAAGGACACTGCAAGGCCTCTCAAACTTGGCGGCTGCCTTTTGGGAACCGGCGGCCCTCTGCGGTCCAGGTCGGACTCCACCAGGGAGCCGTGGGAAGTAACCTTTCAGGACCCGGGCCCGGGAACATGGCGGCTTTGCACGCACGGACTGCGAAGGGGTGTGGCAATCCTGCGACAGCCCTTCAGCCTCAGAAGTGACACCACCCCAGGATGGGCAGTAGTCATCACCACCAGAGCGCCTTCCCCAGCCAGGGAGCAGCCCAGGAGGGGCGGGCGGCAGCTGACTTACGGCAAGTGCTATGGTGAGTCCAGCCGTCCAGTTTGACGCCCTGGTGCGCGCAGGCACGGGCGTACTCCAGGAGGGTAGAGCAGGGGCAGTCTCGGCCCTGCGCGCACCTGCACAGAGTGCTCTCACACAGGGCCACGAAAGGCTCCGGATCCACAGAGGGGTGGCAGCGGGCGAACACCGAGGCACTCTTCAGAAGCTGGCACTGCTCCCACAGGTCCTGCGGAACAAGATGGCCTCCTGAGCGGGGTCGGTGTCATGTGGCCCCAGCAGCTTTTCATGGCCAGTTAGTGCCTCCCTAAGCTTGTTGCAGCTAGGGATGACTTAACTTTGCTGGGATGACCACGGAAGCGCCCTCAGGACGGAGACTGGCTTTTTTATTCACCATTGTCCTCCCAGCACCTCGCACAGTGCCTGGCACCCAGTAAGTGCTTATAAACATTTGTTAATCAACCTAAAAATCAAAGGAAAGATATTGTAGTCATGTTGTGTGAAGTAGACGAAGACTAAGGTTACATCCTGGACTGAGCCCTGGAAGTGCAGAGCCTCAGGCCCTTGTACTGTTCTGGCAGGCAGTGACCTGTGAAGAGCACTGGACTTGGCATTGGCCATCTGATCTGATTTCAGAGTCCAGTAATGCTGTTCACCATCAGTTTTGCTTTGACATAGTCCCCTCCCCTTCCTGATCTTGATCTTTTCACTGTAAAGAAGAGGGTGGGACAAGGGTTTTATAAAGTAGAGATTCATGGGCCTTCCCCCCAGTGGTTTAAATTCAGTAGGTTGGGGGTGTAGGTTCAGCAGTATGGTTTTTCAGGCTTTCCCCAGGCGATTCCAGTGCTCACCCAGTTCCCGTCAGCAAAAGCATGCTAAGATTCTACAAAATGTCCCAGAGTTACTCTGCAAGGCAACAGTTATTCTTAGGTTTTATCACTTTGTTGGCACTCTCAACCTGGTAACATAGGGCAGGTTTGCAACTTTTGTCATTTATTACTCCTGCTAACTCTTCAGTATAAATACCCCTGTATGTTTTGTTTATAAACATCTCTACATTCTGGGTTTTAATGATTCTCAGTGCACTTTTTTTTTTCACAATTTAACATCTCTTAAGTTGGGGTGCATCTTATAATTAATAGCATCATAACTTTTTTAATAATTTATTTTTGTTGTTGAGAATATACATAGCAGAACATAATACCGATTCAACAATTTTTACATGTACAATTCAGTGACATGGATAACATTCTTCGAGTTGTACAACTATTCTCACCCTCCTTTTCTGAGTTGTTCCTTATCCATTAACCTAAACTCTCTGCCCCCTAAGTTTCCTGATAGCATCATAACTTAATGGACGGCTTTTTCTTTGTTAGTGGTACAGAGACTAATGACATGTCTTAAAATCAATGATGTCTTAAATTTGACACAGTACAGTATTACTGATAGAAATGATGGGAGGGAGGTTGCACAATTTCTTTCATGCATATGCAGGCTCTCCTGGAATCCAGCAATTAGTGAAGACATAACCTGCAGCTAAAAAGAAAGAAGTACCAGAGTATCTAAACGGAAAAGCTAAGTCCTGAAGGGTAAACCAGAGCAAATTAGTGTTCCTAAAGGGAGAATAAAAAGAGGAAAGAAATTAACCAGCTTTGAGAAAAGAGAAATCCACTCTTCTCCAACTATACAAAGAATCTCCAGAGCAAGTCCACATAAATTGAAAACCAATCCCACGAACCAGTCCCGTGGGCCTCTTGTTTTGTGGCACCATGGAAAGCATGGAGGAATAAAAATCTCACTGTCTGCAAAAACCACCCAGCAGCACCAGAGAGCCCTGTTCTACCCACAGTGCCACTATGTGGGGGCCTTGAATCTACATCAGAGCCAGGCAAGCAGGGCACAATGTCACTGCTGCTCCCAGATCACAGCAGACCCTGGGGCACCCAGGAGGGAGGCCAGGGCTGTGGCCCAGACAGACTGGACGTGGCTGGTTCTCTCCTCACCTGAGAAAAGCAGCAGCAGGCAAGGGCTGCTGAGCTGCAAAACTGCAGCAGGCCAGCTTGTGGATGAGGGTAATTAGCAGCTCTTCCTCTTGGGAGCCATTGCTCACCCCAGCACTTCCTCTATGACCTGCCCTCTGAGTGACATCTGGTCAGGTTGGAGACTCTGCACCTACTGAGGATTCCTGGGTGGGAAAAGCATAGGCTTAAAGCCTAGCTCAGCTACTTCCTAGTGATGGGGACTGAGGCAAATCCCCTCACTTCTCTGGACAGGGGTGTCCTTGCATTAAATAGGAACAATAATGATATTCACACTGTCTCATGCAGTTGCCTGGCACATAGCAGGCAATCAATAAATGAAGACTACTGTTAATAGTTCTGTGACCACTTAGGTCTCTCGTGATTTCATTTATCCTTCCACTTGCACCCTGAGCATTTTGCACAAGGGAAAACGGAGTTTTCTGAAGACAACAACCAGGAAGATGACAGAGGTAGTAAGCAGGCTTGCCTTGGCCTTGGTATGACTCTAACAGCCCTAGAGTCAAGTTCAGTGTCTTCCACCTGCTAACTGTGTGACCTTGGGCTGTTTACTTAACCCTTCCTCCTCAGCAAAATGGGGATGATGATAATAGGTCCTCACTAATAAGACTGTAATGAAGATGGAAGGGAATATTGCATTGCCCAATAAATGGTGACCCCATATTTTCATCATCGCCATTGGTATCCTGGCCACCAGAGAGATTGCTTCCACCTTCCCTCTTGCCATTAGGCTTATCCTCCAGAATAGTGAGCAGATCACCAGCAGGACAGAAGGACATCTTTGTCCTTTTTCCCCTGTCTCCATCTCCTTGGGCTGTACAGGGATGAATGGTTGCCATGGCAACATTATCATATCTGTCAAGTCTTGGGTTCTTTGTGGTCTGCAGAGGGACTGCTTTTGTTAAACTTATTTGGAAGGTTCACACTCCTCCAGAACAAAGTGGGTTTCTTTCTAGTATAGATGAGGGGAATCTCTCTTCCTTGTAATAAGTCTGAGAGCCTCCATTCTCACTGGCAATTTGAGGCTAAGAGAAGGAGGCTGAGGCCTGTGGCTATTCCTTTCTGTTCTGCTACATCCCCTGCCCCAACAGAAATGCCACTCAGGAAGTGAGGTCACTGAACCCTCAAAGAGCAGGTGAGGGTGTCTGAGAGAGAGGATCAGATGCCCAGGCTCTTGCCTACCTCCTTCCCTACCCACAACTTGGAACTAAAGAAAAGCTTGACAAGTCAACTCTGGGTGTTTTCTAGTAATCTCTACCATCCCCTGGGGAGGGACTTGGAGTAGTCCCCACACCACAGGGCAACTCCTGTAGGGACAGGGACCAGGAGGCTGGCAAATGTGACCTGGCAGGACACAGAATCAGCTAGAGCAAAGAAGGGACCCCAGGAGTCCAGGCAACCCCACCCCTTTCAGAGACCTGGTGGGCAGAGCCAGCATGGCCTATCTCTAGCTGGCCCCAGTCAGTCTCACCACCACCACCACCACCCACTTAAAGGAAAACGAGAACAATACTCCTGCACATTTCCTGGGAAGTCCCTTGAGGTATTAAATGGTTTACAGAAAGCCTAGGCAAGAAGGGTGCATTCTGATTATTTGCCTGCAGGATGGGAGTAGATTTCTGCAGAAATAGCCAGCTCCCTCTTAGAATAATTCCTTTGGCTTCCCACATGTACCTGAAATCTGACAAGATTCCTTTCTCATCAGAAATGAGGAAAAGTCTGTCATCACACCTTGTCTTCCAGTCTTCCTCTGGTCAGCCTGGCCTGGACTCCATCTCCTAAAGTGAGAACAGTCTGACAGCCAGGCAGGACTTCTAGACATCACCCCAGCACCTGTAGCAGATCTGCCATCACCCAGCATTCCCACCACAGTGACTTATCTCTCTTACTGTCTCGCAGTTCTGCACAGGTAGCCCTGCCAGGCCAGGTCCTGAGGTAGGACTTGTCCACCAAGTCTAAGATGGCGTCTATATCTTGTGCTCTCAGACTCACAGTAGAGACATTGGCAGGTGGGCAGTAACCAAAACGTTCACTCAACAAGCATTTACTGAGTGGCTTCTAGGTCCCAGCAGTGTGTGCAAGTGAATTTGAAATACAAAACTGACTATGTCCCCACTCTGCTTTTAGGGCAATGTCTACGCTCATTAGGAAGACAGGCCAGACCCTTCCTGATCTGACCTCAGCCGACCTCTCTAATCCCATGCCTCCCACTCACCATCTCATACTTTACTGATGGTTTCCAGAACATATCTTCACATTTCATTCAATAAATAGTTATTACACACCTACTATGTACCAGGCACAAGGAATACAATAAAAGCAAACAGGCTTGGTCTCGGTCGTCATAAAGCCTATCCCTCATCCCATCCCCTCTGCCCTCCAGTATGTCCCCTCCTTCTGCCCAGGTAACTCCTGCTCCACACCTCGGGTCAGGAACCACCTTTTCCATAAAGGTTTCTCTGACCAGGTCCCCTTCTCCCACTCCGCTGGGTTAGATGCTTCCGCAGCACTCTGGGCACATCTGCTCTTGTACTGAAATTATCCATTTCTGTAGCTGTCTCCCCCATTTCCCTGCAAGCTTTTCAAAGACAGGAGCTGTATTCCCAGGGCATGCAGAGAAAGCAATAAGAAAGTGCTGAATCAATCCTAACAGTAAAGAGCACAACAGTGAATAAGTTACATTCTCCAATTCTTAAGGAGCTTCCGTCCCCTTGGACCAGGTATTAGCAAAGGGAAAGTTTACGTAACGGTCTAAAGACTGTGTCCTGCTTTAGGGGTGTCTCACCAATGATGTGGCCAGTCAGAGCTGGAAGAAACCTACAGCTGACATGTTGGGAAGACTTCCTAAGAAGGAGGCAAAGTCTGAATGGGGCCCTGGACAATGTATAAGACTTATGTTGCAGGGCAGGAGGGAGGCTGTGCCAGGCAATGCCAACAGCATAACTTCAGGCAGAAGGAGAAACAGAATAATTTCCACTGAGCCAATCCCCAAGACTCCAGCTCAGTGTTGCCCACAGACATCCCAGGTAAGACCCACTGCCCTCTGGGACATTGTTCTAATAGGTTAGCAGCCTAAGCTTCTCTTAACAGATAGCTATGGGCCCTATCATACTAAAAACCTAACCAAACTTTCCTTGAATACGTTTATATTTTCTGCCTATGCCACATCTTTCGACCCTTCAGTTTGTTA